AATGAAATTCATAGAGAAAGGCGAGTTCGCTAATTTCAAATTCCAAAAAGACTTCTTACGTCCTTTCGAACATATAATGAAGAAAAATAGTTCTCCGACGATTAGAGATATGGTGGTCAGATGTATCGCACAAATGGTGAACTCGCAAGCACCGAACATAAAGTCCGGTTGGAAAAATATATTTTCGGTATTCCATTTGGCGGCGAGTGACCAAGACGAGGCGATCGTTGATTTAGCATTCCAAACAACCGGAAAAATTATATCGGAATTGTACGAGAAACAATTCCAAGCGATGATCGATTCATTCCAAGATGCAGTTAAGTGTCTTTCGGAATTCGCTTGCAACGCGAAATTCCCCGATACGTCCATGGAAGCAATAAGACTCGTAAGATCTTGTGCAACGGCAGTTGGCGCTTCACCGCAATTATTCGCCGAGCACGCGGGGCTCGAGGGAGAACCTGGTGCTCCAGAAGTGGACAGGGTGTGGCTGAGAGGGTGGTTCCCTCTCTTGTTCTCCCTGTCGTGCGTCGTAAGCCGTTGCAAATTAGACGTCCGCACTCGAGGACTCACAGTCCTCTTCGAAATTATCAAAACACACGGTGAATCATTCCGTCCGCATTGGTGGAGAGATCTTTTTAATATTTTATTCAGAATTTTTGACAATATGAAATTACCCGAACATCAGTTGGAAAAGAACGAATGGATGACTACAACATGCAATCACGCGTTGTATGCAATCGTCGACGTTTTCACCCAATATTTTGACATCCTCGGCTCTCTCCTGCTCGAGCAGCTGTACGCTCAACTGCACTGGTGCGTGCAACAAGACAATGAACAGTTGGCCAGGTCCGGGACTAATTGCTTAGAAAATCTAGTCATATCGAACGGAATGAAATTCAGCGAAGACACATGGAGCAAAACCTGCCAGATTATGTTGGATATATTCAACAGTACATTACCCACTACTTTGCTGACTTGGAAACCGGATGAAAACGACGATAGCGAAACTCCTCACGTTCGTCATGGAATATTGAAGAAGCCGCAAGGAGGAGATGAATCGAAATCCTCCAACAGAGTCTTCAACAGTCTTCTCATCAAGTGCGTGGTGCAACTCGAGTTGATTCAAACGATCGACAACATAGTCTTCTATCCGGCGACATCGAGAAAGGAAGACGCCGAAACATTGGCTCTAGCGGCTGCCGAACTGACCGGAGGTACCCCGGGCACCGAGCAGGAGTGTCAGCGTGAAGAGCAGGGCATGTACCGTCTGCTCAGCTCACCGCACTTGCTGCGACTCGTCGAGTGCTTGATGTGCAGTCATCGGTTCGCGAAGACGTTTAACACCAACAATGCGCAGCGGAACGTACTGTGGAAGGCGAATTTCAAGGGATCTGTGAAACCTAACATGTTGAAACAAGAGACTCAATCACTGGCTTGTGTTATGCGGATTCTATTCAAAATGTACAGCGACGAAGCGCGAAGGAACCACTGGCCTGCCGTGCAGAGCAGCTTGATTAAGATATGTTGCGAAGCGTTGGAGTATTTCGTAGGGTTGACTAACGAAGCCCACAGAGACGCCTGGACGTCCATTCTACTGCTGATTCTCACACGGATACTGAAGATGCCCGATGAAAGGGTATGTATTGTTTTTTAATTGTAGTCTAAAGCCCGCAGCACTTATTCAGTTTAGTGTAACAATTAAACTTTTCACTATATAATTAAAATAGGTAACGTGTGTAGCAGGAATTAGTTTAAAATGACTAAGTAAAACATCGTCAAGTACCAAAACAACTTTGTCTAATCTTACCTTTGTGTAAATGTTTATAGACAGTGGTGAATCATCTATGGCGATCGGAAATTCAAACGCGCAACAATACTATGTTGGTCATACGAATAACAGAGGCATGTGTCCTTATAGGTTGATAGATACTGTTAACTTGTGTATGCTAATACATAAAGATTGCCTATTTATTTAGATCCTCACGTCATACCTATGTGATGGTTACAAGTGTGTTTATCCTTCTTTTATTTATTTTTTTTGTATTTGCATTTTCCCTGTCAAAGGAATTCCCATTGATTGACCTTTGTATCAAAAAAATATCTCAACCAGCATGGGTGTCGCCAGCCGAAAAAAAACCATTGGCTGATAGAGGCTCAGATAACTTAAAAATGCCGTCACTATCAGATAGAGGACAAAATCGACAATTTACACTTGGTGGGAGAGGCCCTTATTCTTTTGATTTAATTCTTACATATATTTTAAAGTTCCCAATCTTAAGAAAGGGGCAGCCGCCCCTCTGGCGATGCACATGGACCCCAAATTTTAAAATACACAAAATTAACTTCGTGTATAATGCTTTTCATATACTTTATATGTTTTTATTCGTGTAGTTTGCGGCGCATGTGTCCAGCTATTACCCACTGCTGTGTGAGATCACCTGCTTCGACCTGAAGCCGGAGCTGCGCACGGTGCTGCGCCGCGTCTTCATACGCATCGGACCCGTCTTTAGCATCGTCACCACGCAATGAACTTGCAATATTTTACACAAGAGAATGGCCTTATAGTTTACTAGGTTAAAGTATGACTTTGTTGTTAAAAATAAAAAAAATATATGCGTTCAGAGATACTCCCCAGACATCGGGGGACTTAATGCATAGAAATAAAAAGCAATTGTTAATTCCTTAAATTTTAATGTAATATTTGACAGCAATCAGTACTTCAGTAGTATTAAAATTGATCTATTATATATAGTGTGTGGTAGTCTTATTGTTTTAATTTATATAAATTATTTGATTAACAATGTTTAAAAAATATTGAATTGTATAAATCATAGACGTTGTACCTATAAATAATATTTTATTCTGTATATTTGAAAGTTTTTACTGTTCGGAGAGCTGATCACTCGCTGACCGCTTCACGTGTTTCATTTCCGCGCTAGACTGATTCAACTGTGATCGTGATTTCCCGCAGCTTTCCTCCTTTCGATCTTTTTCCTATTGAGTGATTGCAGAGCTCGCACGATAACTATATTATCCATTATATAATAAATAAAAATAATAGACTTAAATGCAGTTTCAGTTAAACGATTTTTAGCCCCTCAATGGACCTCTCCAAAGAATCCAAATCCCAAATGACGAGTTGTCCATCCAGGCCGGAGGTGCTGAACTTCTTAGCGTTAGCTTTAGTGCCTTTGTAGAGGCTAATACAAGTGATGGCATTCTGATGAATGGAATCCAAGTAAGTATCGCTCGTTTCAATCCGGGCCTGACGATCCAACGACTGGAACTTCTTCATGGCTGAGAGCCCACCAGACTCCTTCCTCTGAGTATTATCCAACTTGGCTACGAAACGCAATTCGTCTCCATCATGGCAGTACAGCAATGGAATGCAGCTATGGCCAGCAACCAACAGAGAGTTATTGGATATCCAATTACATCCCAAAAATGGCAGGTATTCAGTCTTAACTTTGATCATTGATTTTCCTTGAGTGGCATCAGCAATGTTGATAGAGCTATCGTGTCCGACCCATGCTACCTTATTACCGTCCGCAGAAAACGAGACGCTATGCACCCATCCACCACCTGAAGGTGAATTAGGGAACTCGGCCAAAAGTTGCCCCAAAGGTAACTTAGAACCCCAAACATTTGGGCCAGGTTGGTCTTCAATATCTTTAATATAGGCGGAGAAGACCCTGACTTTAAAGTCTGCAGATCCAGCAACTAGAAGGATATTATTCGGATGCCAATCTAAGGTAGTCACAGTGGAGCGGATGGGCTTTTTAATATGCTTGGAGACCCACCAGTTGTTTTCTTTCTCAAAGTAACAGATTGAAATTAATCTTGCACCAGAACCGACAGCAAACTTGTTCTCCATTGGTGACCATTTTACGCAAGTCGCCGCTCGGTTGATACGTAAAAGGACCAATGTAGTGGTCCATTTCCCATCATCACCTTGTGTCCACACATATGCATTACGATCGACAGAACAAGTAACAATTCTATTAGTGTTGGGTGCCCAATCAATGCCCATAACTCTCAAGTCATGCTCCACAAGGTTATTGGTTTGCTTCCATTCATTTCCCTCTTTTTGGTAAATATGAACTTCATTGTTGTTGGGTGAAAATGCAATCTCTGGAAGAATAGCATATAATCATTACCTTTAAAATTAATCAAATGAGAGCCAAATACGGTGGAAATTTTATAGAGATTCTATAGCTATAAAATAATAGTCATTGTTGGGGAATTTTCATCAATCTTTATGAACATTGATAGCTGGTATAAGGTCATCTAGGATTTAGAAACTCTAAAGCAGAATGTGATTGAAAATTGTTAAATAATGAATTAACAAATCATACTTACGAGTTCTATCCTTATTCCACGCGTGGCACGTTATCGGGGCGCATGAGTCACCGAAAGTCAGCGTTTGAGACATCGTAAGTGCTAAAATCAATACATTGTTCAATAAAATATAGATTCATAACTATTTACCTGTAATTAGAAATCTGTTTACCTGGTAGTTCCGGACAGCGAATATTTAACGGAAAGGAACAGCACTGCTCTAGTAAACACTAGAAATCCGCGGACTCTGGTCAGTCTACGCGAATTCCTGTGTATTAAAACAAATTTCAATTATATACGTTATATTTTCACATAGTTGGTCAAAATGTACTGTTTTAAACATACTTTTACCTTTTTTAAAGACCACAGCAAACAGCGGATATTTTATGAGTGACGTAATGAAAATGACATTGACACTTGACTTGACAGTTTTCTTGCTGCTCGTAGATTAGAGATTACTATGATGAGAAGACGACTTGAAGGAAAGCTTTATAATAAAATGTAGGAGATATCTTTGCAATAATAGTTTTAACCACAAAATTTTTAACATTTCAGTTTAAATCTCGAAATGATTTTATGAAATCATATAATGCAAAAATGGTAATCTAATTAGAGTTTGTACGGTTTGAACGCTGGATAATATTGAACGCTCTTCTTAAGCTTTGATAATCATTGACATTTGCGCTATTGGTAAATAATCATATTTTTATCATAACAAATATTAAAATAATAACAAAAACTAGAAACTATCATTTCAGCAATGTCTGTAAGAGGTAACCCTATCATATAAAACTGTATAATACTGTAAATGATTAAGTTTGTATTTTATCCTATATGTCTTAACCTTTAGGTAAATTTCGCCGGCACCGCAACCAACAAACCTTGTCTTCTGTGGCTAAAGAAACTGCAATTTCCCTTCCCGCTGACAGCCCTATATTGGCGATATTTAAATCCGCTGCTGTAAAGCTAAACGATCGTCAAGACAGGCATGAGCGTCTGGTCAAACTTTCCAGGGATATTACTATTGAAAGCAAGCGGATCATATTTTTACTGCACTCTGCTATAACGTAAGAGACACATCTTACTTAATGTATTAAATGTACAAGTTAAGATGGATGGATGACTGTTTGTTAAAGGGTAACTGTTGAATGGCTTAACAGATCTCAATGGAATTTGACACATGTAGATCAATATCTAGGCAGTCTAGTATAGAAAGAATGCATCAGCTATCAATTAAGTTTCAATTTAATTCCGTGTAGACAAGGCGCGGGCGAGAGCTAATTTTCATATAAATCTGTTTACATTATCAATAAAAATACATTATTCCTATTTTGTAGCAAAGAAACATGTGAAAAGGCAGTTTCAGAAGCAATCATACGGCTTCAGAAATTAGCTAAAGGTCCAATAAAGAGTATTGGCCTTGAGCTTGAAAACATACCAAATTATTTACATTGGCGTGCGGTCACTCCAGGTTTCCAGGAGTATGTTGAAGCGAGAACTTTATGCTCATTGATGCAGACACAGAACATAATTACTTTTAAAGAGACACAGGATGAATTTATTTATAAGATAGAAGATGAGACAAATAACAAGGAGAGAAGTGTTGTCACTATGCTGACTCAGAATGACTACATGCTGGGTATAGCGGACCTCACGGGGGAGTTAATGAGGAGAGCAATTAACAGCATTGCAAGTGGAGACAGCGAGGAATGCTTTAGCTGTTGTCAGAATGTGAGAGATCTGTATACAAGTTATTTAGGTAAGAGTCAAACCTTTTTGTATGATTTACTAGGTTGTCTTGCTTCTTATTAATCTTAGTAATATTAATGTGAATGTTTATTTCTTTTATTATGTGGTCCAGAACCTCTCAATGGATTATCTTGAAATTTTTTGCAGAGTATTTCTTTTCCAAAATACTAGGCCTGGCCCTAAACTAATTAATGTAAAAATATGTAACCTAAAATTGTTAAAGTCTAGGGGTTTCTATTACAAAAAGAATGTTTGTAAAATATACCTTGATTGTTGACATCCTACATAAGTGAGAAGTGCGTGTTTATACTTTATTTTATTACTACAGATAAATAAAATGTATTTGATAATTCACCATAACTGTGGGTAGGCACCGAGCCCCTCAGTGGGGACATATAGTGAGCTGGTGATGAAGATGAATGGATAGGTGTTTATTTATTCTGTATGACATGTAGGCGTGACTGGGGGCAGTCGCGAGCTGGGCCGCAAGCTGGCGACGACGCGCCGCAACGTGGAGAAGGTGGAGTGCGCGGTGTATGCGCTGCGCGTGCGCGGTGGCGAAGCGCCGCCCGCGCTGCTGGCACGCCCCACCTCGCCACACGCCTGGGACGCTGCCTCCGCACACTCAGACGACGAGGGCTTCTTTTAATTTAACATAAAATAAGTGCTAATAAAACTTGACTTTTTATTCTTTGTTGTTTCATTGAAAAAAACACTCACGCCAACTTTTTGAGATTCAGTAAATACTCTATCTATACTTCTATACTAATATTATAAAGAGGAAAGATTAGTATTTTTGATTTACTGTATGTATTCGATCCACGTAGAAACTACTGGGCCGATTTTAAAAATCGGTGAATAACATGGGCTAAATTTTTTATTATTTCTTAACTTCACGCGGAAGAAGTGGCGAGCAACACTTATTTCATTTAATGGTAAAGTGTTTGTAACACACAGGCATGTAGGTTTTTATAACCAGTTCCTGCGTTAAGGTATGGGCTAAAGATCTATGACTTCATCTCACTTTTTTTTTTTTTTGTGACTGAATGGCCACTGTTTGCCTTGAAGAGGCATTTACAGATTCACCGGGCTTGAGGTGGCCGAGCGCTTATGGCGCTTAGCCTAAACCTCGTTTATGAGTAACTGAGCTCGAGGGCTCCCTGGGGAGCCTCGGCACGAGCCGTTACTTCGATATTATTACCGGATTGGGAGGCCACCGAGCTCTTAGGTCGCTTCGGAGGACGCTCCATGGAGTGACTAGGCACAAGGGCCCCCGAGAGGGAACCTCGGCTTGGGCTGTCACTCAATACGCGTTTAGCATTCCGATTCAAGGGCGCCCGAGAGGGCCGAACCTCGACTTGATCGGTTGCTTCTATCTGATTAATATTAATACGTCTAACATTACTACCACTTCGGAAAGCGTTATCGCTGGGAGAAGAAGTGGCGGAAGAAACTCCAGCAACGCTTCTATCATTAACAGGTGAAAACCTGCCAGCTATGAGGCCGTATCGCGGGAATGATTGCCGTAGTCGACAGCGACTACGGCGTGTTGTTTGTTTGCGTAATTGTTTAATCCTAGCCTGAGCGATTGTTGTTGCATCGTCTTGGAAGTCAAGAACGTGCCTAGGTCTACGATGATCACGTCGAAATTTACCGAGCGCGATTGGGTTGTAGGTGGCGGCACCTACAACTAACGAATTAGGATGACCGACGGCAGAGTCAAAATAACGACGCGACGCCTGCTTCAGGTGTTGGGCTATGGTGGGTAAGTCCAAGTCGATGTGAAGATCACTATTGCGCATGTACCACGGGGCCCCCGTGGCTCTGCGCATGAATCTATTTTGAATCACCTGAAGTCGGTGTATTTGTTTCGGCGAGATGTGCGCGAATACCGGGCTAGCATACGTCATGACGGGACGCACTACAGATTTATAGAGTGTCACCTTATTCCGAAGGGACATTTTGCTCTTTTTATTAATTAACGCGGAAAGACGACCTAAGATGAAAGCCGCGCGGTTCCTGACCCGGGTCACATGAGCGGAGAAGTTAAGTTTAGAGTCGAGTATGACACCTAGGTATTTAACTTGGTTTTCCCAAGGTATTGGGCTGTCCATGAGTTTGACGGATGGGAGACGTTGTTCTTTGAGGCGTGCAAAGTATAGAGCCGCGCTTTTGGTGGGATTTATTTCGATCCTCCATTTCCTAAACCAGGCACCAAGGGTGTTTGCTGCAGTCTGTAGACGTCGGCAGATAGCATCAGGCTTACGGCCTGATGTAAAAATGCAGGTGTCATCGGCAAATAACGCTAATTCGACGCCGCGTACGCGTGGAATATCGTTGGTATAAAGGCTAAAAAGGACTGGACCTAACACCGACCCTTGAGGCACCCCGGCTCGAACAGGGTGCGATCTAGAACACACTCCCTCGACGCGGTAGCGGAACGTGCGGCAACTTAAGAAGTCTCGTATTATGCATACGAGACGATCGGGTATTCATCTCACGTAACCCAAAAATTGTATGGTCAAATTGGACAAATGGTGGAATAGGGAGAGATAATTTATTTAGTGCAATCCTGACAGACCTTTTGCCTGTAACCTTAAGGCTGGCAAGAATATATCTGTAATATCTGTGTCCAAATGTATATGTAATAAAGTTAGCCAAAAACATAGTTAAAAGTAACATTTATTAATATTTTTATTAAATTCAAACAATAAACTTATAATTATAAAAACTGCGAGGCCTGGGAGTAGTCTTGAGTTTCGGAGACATCGCTCGGAGGTTGCCAGTCATCAGAATCATCCGTACCGTATGGATCCTCCTCCGACTCACTTCCACTCCACGCCTCCCTCTGTATAGTCTTTCTCACTCTCTTCCCTGTCACTATGAGATCTTCTGGCGATTCTCCACTAGAACGCCTCTTTGTTCTGTTTTTTCTTCTACCTGCCATACAAAAAATTACGGTGGGAAAACATCGAACAAATCAGTTATTATACAGGGATGTTTGTTTTTAGGATAAGTATATTATTTTTTTATATATAATTCAGTTAATGAAGGTAATACCCGTAACCTTCCATTAAATACAAAGCAAGGAGGCCAGCTGGAAACCAGCGCAGGGATGGCAAAGGCTGTCCGTTTCACCTGATTCTTTATTCTTAGTTACTTGGTTCGTAACAATGAAACACGCTTTTATTTTATTCCCAACGACAGTTGAGATATTTTATTATGAAGTGCAATAATACACAAGTTAATCTTCATTGTTTTTAAACATTCATTGAAGTGTATGTACTAATAACTAATAATTAACAATAAAATAGTCAATATATAAGTGACGAACGACTGGCTACTACTAGCCAAGTTTGGAAATGTTCACATAGTTGGGTATTTACTTTAATTTTATAAAAAATGTATTTAATGTGAGTGTCTAATGTAGAAAGTGTAAAAAAATAAAAACCCTATCGTGCGATGCGCCTGCGCATTTAAATCTAACCCCTTCCCCCATAGCACAAATATTCTCCCCAGGAGTGTCTTAGTTAACAAGATTGTAGATTTTACTCTAAACTTTTAATCAAATATTCCTAATATCACTTTATATTAATGTTTGATACAAAACAACCTTTCTTTCCAACAACAAAAATATGATTTAAATTATTTTTACATGTTCAATAAATTTTAATGAATTACAAGGACAGTAGTAGTTTACAACTGTTTATTAAATTCTTATTTTTAACATGAAACATGAAAAAAAAATGTCATTTATTTTTTTTATTTACGATATTTATTGAACTTTAAAGTAATTAATAAATAATTCAATCAAATTCATAATCATAATCGACGCTGTCGCCATCCGAGTCTTCGGCCTCGAAGTGGTCGTCGAAGAAATTAACTGCGTGCGCGTTTATATAGAAGATTTTCCCGTTCTTCTGCACAATGTGCGTCTTCTTCTTCTGGATACCTGCGACAGACAACTCGAGTTAATGCTGACACTCTATACGTTTGTATGGAGAAAAAAATCGACTGTTTACTCCAGCCCGCTTAGATGACATTCGATTATAGGTATCGCTGATCGAAAACTCAAAAATACAACTGACAACATTTGATTACTAATTTCTTGCTATGCGTTTTAACTAATTTTGTCGATTTTAACGATATCGCTAATCGAAAATCACCTTTTCCTGGGGGGGGGGAGGTAAATTAGGATGTTTCGTGTTGGACTGATCGACCCAATGGGAACTTTTTCAGACAATCGAATTTATAGAATCAATCGGTCGTTCAACCCAACTAGAATCACCCGTCAAATTAATAATCCCTTTCTATTTAATAAAACTGGAGCAAATAGTATAGGACGTTTTGCAATTCAATTAATGAATTAATAAACTATTGGGCCACTTACTCTGTTTCAAACTTAAAGTCTATCTTCTCATAAAGTTTGTAATAGTTGGATGAAGTTACAGAGCTTTAAAATCACAAACTGATTTAAAGTTCCAACAAATGCATTACTTTCTTTCAAAACACTAAAGATACGCGACTAATTCGAAATAGATTTTTCATTTATAATAAAACATAATGACTGTTTGTATTATTTTTAAATAGGTATGGACGAAGTCGCGGGGTAAAGGCAGTAGTGTGATATTTCAAAAAGTTTGCCCTATTTGTATGGAATAGGGGTTTAGAGGGAAAAAAATGTGTTGAAAGGGTCAAAGATATTTAAGAAGTATATAGACTAGACATAGTGAAAATTTTTTCGCCGGTAACTTCTTTGAAAGGTACTATGCTAGTTGTCAAGTTAAGTGCCACCTCATATTGTATTGACATGTTAGAAAATATGTTACAAAATTATAATAAGCTTCATCTTTTGTTACAAAATAAAATATAAACTTTTAAATATGATTTAGTGACACCAATTGACAATTTATTTAAAACTTACTAATGTTATAAATACAAAAGTTTAGATGGATGGATGTTAGAGTTTGTAGCCTAAAAGGTTGAACGGATCTGGATGAAATTTGATGTAGACGATAGTTTGAAAGAACACATAGGCTAGTTACTTTTGGTTTTAATACCACGCGGACGGAATAGAGGGCGAAAGCTAGTTAATGATATTGACAGTGGTTTTGAAGAGCTATAAATAGCGTCAGTGGATCATGTAAAAAAATGTTTCGAGTGTAGTGTAACCGTGGTCGGTACCTGGCGGCGGCGGCGGGTGCATGCCGTAGGGGTGCGAGTGGTCGCGCCAGTGGCGGGGGTCGCGGCGCGCGCAGGCGTAGCCCCAGGGACAGGGCGCCTTCGCCCCCGCGCCCCAGTCCGCGTCCCCGGGGTGACTGAACTGCGCCTTGTGCTGCGGGTTCTTCCTGCAACAATGTCAAAACAACAATCTAAATACCTTCCACTCTATAAGTAAACTGCAATAAAGTAAATATGAAATCTTATTATTTTTATTTTTTAGTATAACATGAATAACAAATAAGCCACCGGAATTAAGAGATGGGACACACACAAAGAAGTTATTTTCTTTAGCTTGCGTCCCATAACCTGCCTATCCTTTCCTTGTACGAAAAGGGTGGTCAGGGAAAGTGGTCTAATATTAGACCTCTGGCACGGATACTCATCAGACGAAAGGTGGAATTATTTCCATTTCAGGCCTGTTTTGTGTGGTTTTCTAATGTATGGAGCGAGCGGAACGTTAAAACGGACTCTACCACTGTTAAAATTAAACTTGGGCTTTCTTAATACTCTACGATTTTACATCCTTGAATAAACATGAACTAACGTAAGACGTATTCAAACATAATTATTAATATTTACAGTATAAAACAGTATGAATAATAAAATAATTGCTGATAACATATGAACTGTGGCATTCGAATCAGAATCGACATGCGGGAAGAGAACTTGATAAAACATAACCGCATGTTAAAATTAAAACAGTTTTATACAATAATTTATTACTAATACTATCCTTTACCCGCGATTTTGTTCGTTTAGTAATCATATTAAAGAAATTACAATTATTTAATAACTAGCTATTGCTCGCGACTTCGTTCACGTGAAATTAAAAAATATAGCTCATATTACTAAGCGATAACGTAGCTTTCTTGGAAGAATTTTTGTTATCGGGCTTTGTAATTTATGAGTAAATATATACAAAAATTTCCTCTTTAGAACTAGTATTGAATTGGTTAAAAAAAATTAAAAAAACACTTGTAATTTTTTGTGCAACGTGTACCTATCTATGGAAAGGTTTTACTATACAAGTGATAACTTACCTATAACATTTCTCTCCATACATACATCTCTCTCGTTTGAGGTTTTGTTTGGGCGGAGAGGCGCCGCTCGCGGAACTCGCGCCGGATGTACTCTGCAATAAACATAATTACTTATAGATATAACATAAGTAAGATAAATCTTAATATAATAAGTGCCAGTTAAGTGAAAATAATTATTTTTTCATAAAAAATTTACAATTTGGAAAATAGGTTAAAAAAAGTCATATTTCTTTATATACGGCTAGTTAAAATTTAAAAAAGATTGCGTCAGACTCGAAAGATTCGACGTAATTACGAAGTATTTCACAAAACTACGATGACGAGAAATGACTCATAACGTTTTGCATCATATTATCTTATATTGTTTAGTTCTAAACATCGTAATATTAAGGTATAAAAAAATGCTTTTTTCCTTTTTCATCACTTAACTAAGAAAAAAAATGTTTTTTTTTTTTTTAATTCAAAAGACTTTAATTTAGAGATAAGTATGGCGCAATTGTGTCTAGGGGCAGATAGGGGTGCCAAAAACAGCGAATCACACTTTTTTTCTATAACACCTGTATCTGTACACCCCCCCCCCCCAGCATGGTAAAAAAGGCTCTTAGGGTAAAACCAATACTGTAGGTAAACTAACTAATTGTTAGTGGATACAGATTTAGACGTTGTAATAAGAAACCTTGCTAGACACTATGAGGGTACTATAAAAAATGTTATTACTAACTTTCGCCCGTGATTCCGTCCGCGTGGAATTAAAAAAAAAATATGCTTATATCTTCTTACAGACTATTTTTTTTATGCAAAATTTCATTCGAGATCCGTTCAACAGTTTAGGCTACAAACTCTAACAAACATCCATCTAAACTTTCATATTTACATTAGTAATGATTTACTAATATTAGTACATTAGATTTACTTACAGCATGACTGTCTGCAGATTGCAGTCTATCCTCTGCATTATCTTCTGTCTTCAATTTCTTTATATCCACTGGACTAGTTGACTCTTGTTTTATTAACCGTTTACTCGGAGACTGGCAGAGACCATCATCTACCTCCGGTTTTATTTCATCCTTATTTGACAATTCTTTCACTTTTGAGTTAATATTGAATACTAATTCTTGTCTTTTAAATTCAACAGCTAAAAAATACACTAATTAACGTATCAAAAACTAGCTGGTTCTCGCGACTTCGCTCTTATGAAATTAAAAAATATAGCCTATGTTACTCATAGATAAATTACCTTTCTAATGGTGAAAGAACTTTTAAAATCGGCCCAGTGGTTTTTGAGTTATTCCAATACATACAAAAATGCAAATCTTTCCTGTTCATAATATTAGTATAGATTTTATTGATATGTTATCTATGAGTTTCTAATAGTTAATAATAAACCAAAATTATTAGAATTACATCGCAGTCAAATAAGAACTTAACACATTTCTATGTAATTTTGGATAACTGTATACATTTACTGGACTAATTACGCCAGTCGCCGGCATTCAATGTGTTAAGCAAGATTCTAGTACATGTTTGAATTGAAACTGGTACTCTGTATAAATAACGCACGAGCAATTTTCATTGTATAGTTGCAAACACGTCCCAACATGATCGGATTGCGCAGTTAAAATAGTGTGACTACATATTTTTATTTCAGCGGATTTTCTAATAAACAATCTTATTAGAAATGTTGTTCCTAATTTTAAACAATCTTCAAAGAAATTAGAAAAGCGTTATTTTTAAAATTAGGGACTTATCCATATTACATTAAATACATGGTGTCCCTATTAACTACTTTATTTACTATCTGGTTTTTCCCGCGCGAGTTACTGCAAAACTTCAACAGTTGTCCAGTTTGTAATATAGCGAAAATCTAAAACTTGAAATACCAGGCTCAATTCTCAATTAAAAAGTATTTAAAAAAGTTAAAAACCACAATTAGCATTAAAAATAATACATATTGTGATATATGTCCATTACTTAGAGCAACTTTATGATTACTTTGGCCTCGTAAGGATACTTACTTATATTAGTAGAGACCGGCGCTTTGTCGTCCAATTCCTCTTTCTCAGTTTTATTTGAAATCTGTTCTGTTGACGTTTTTTCATTTTTTTGACAACTTTCTTCACTGGTCGTATCATATTTTATACAAATATCTTTTTGCTTATTTATTAAATCTTTTAATGGTTGAAAATCCTTTATATTCAGGCAAGTGTCATTTATTTCGTTATTTTTGCAAACATTATACCAAAATCTATCATTCAAGAATCCAATTGTATCACCCAGACTGATTTTCATAATTGTATTTTGCAAAATAACTTTCGCATCAACCATTGTTTTATCAATAAAGAAACATGGATTAATATGTAACTGAAAGGAATACATTAATTAATATAATACATTTGAATAATATTCATTACTACACTAACGCAATAACATGATAATAGACATCAAGCAACACATCTACGGTTTACAGTTACCTTGGCGTTGCCCCTCCATGGATGTCGGATAAAATAGTATTAACGTTTCTACTATAAAAATAGATTTCTAGTGTTCTAGCATATAGCAGAAGTATAAAAAATTGGCTTAAAAGAGCCTATAAAAATAAGCATCAACATCTTTCACGTTTGTCATGTTATTGTGTACGCGTAGTAATATTAATAAAAAAATTATTATCAAAATCGGGCCACTAGCGGCGGAGTTATGTCGCATAAAAAATAAAAAAACATACAGACGAATTGAGTACCTCCTTCCTTTGGGAAGTCGGTCAAAAATTACTAAAAGAAAGTATTTGGTGTTTGTTGGAGTGGAGATAGAGATATATTTACAGAGTTAACAGACTTTTTTTTGCTATTTAAATATATAGGAGTTTTTTTTATTGCATTTTATTGCATATTCAGTAGTATGTGGTAGACAGCGAGTCCTACGTGTCTGCAATACTTAATATTAAAGTTTCCTTTTGCATATTATTCATTGTGTTTGATAAAGTATTCAACAACCGTTTTGTATTCACAAGATGACGCGGCAGCCATTACTGTGGGCGTAAACAGGATGTTCGCAGATTTTTTTTTAACAAGCTATCTTTGATATTAAATATTGTCATAATTTTTAAATTGTAATAAAATTGAAGCTTTTGTAGTTTTGATTCATTAAATTCTTAGAAAATATTTACCTCAACACATACAAGAATATTTTTAAGAAATGATATCAGCTACACCTTTATAGATATTCAAGGAAACACAATAATAAACATGCCCTTGTTTACAAGGTGTAATATTAGGGGAACACCCTCTATATAGAAGAACATTAAGGTACAGTGAGTGTACCGCTTCACATCAGCATACTGAGTGTGCGAGAGTCACAAGTTACTTATATACTGCGATAAGCGCACAAACATTTCAATATCTGCCCGATAGTACTATCTATTGAACGCAAATACTTCAACATGGAGATAAGGCCACATGTATGTACTTTACTGCTAGGGATTTGATTCAAACAAGACCAATATTTTATAGGAAAAATCCAGTCGAATAAGGAAAATATATCATTTACATAAAAAAAAACTATTAAGTAATTTTTTTACTTTTAATTTGTACTTTGTTTACTTCTAATGTAATTTTACATTTAATTTGTATTCAAATCTACCTGTGATACCTCTGTACTGTCAACACACTTTTTACAGTATTCCAAAATAAAATCCTCTCTATTACATCATTCATAAGTCTTTATTCTAAGTTGTAAATAAAAAGAAATTGAAATACTTTTTTAAAAGCTATTTTATTAAACAGAACCCTTTTTTATTTTGTTATTGATAAAGAACAACCTTAATAAAAACATGATATTAGAAATATAACTCTACTTCCAGGTTATCTAATCAGTTTAATAAAATTGATAAAAATATCAGTATAGGTAAAACCACAATACCTTCAACATGTACTGAATTTTTTTTTCTCCAACAATAGTATGATATGTTTTTATCTCAGACGATTTTGAACTCTAAACACGGTGAATATAGTTGTAAATCACAATGTTTTTATTTTTGTTTTTTCTCTTTTTTAATCCAATTTGAAAAAAGATGTGTATCAAATTTATTCTACTATTATTTACATAAGAAATAAAATATTTACAAATGAAAAAATTGTCCTACTGGATATTTTACTATATTTTATTAAAAAAAAATTGTATTAAAACTTTTTCTACCATGTTTTGCAGAAAACATAATATTATGGATGTTATACATTATGTTTATTAACTATAATGTAAATAAAAAAAAATAATTTGTATTAACTCAAAATATCATCAACAAACAACAAATACTTTCAAAATAATTTTTAATATTAGAAACTAAATAATCATACTTACAGCCTTAATAACTATTGAATTGTCGATAACTTCCAATTCTGCATGATTCCTTGATACTCTTTTGTCATCACACTGCAAAGAGAACTGACCGTCACTGAACATTCTAAAGACTAAACTTTGTTATCTATAACTTGTGCTACTTATAGTAGTGATGTGCCAACTCAGGAAAAACGTAACTCGAGTTAACTCGAGTTAAAATCCTCGTAACTCGGGTTGCACTCAAGTTAACTGGACGGACAAGTAAATGTTTTTTTGAGTTTTTCCAAATTATTCCCTCGGCTTGGGATTACCAACTTCACATTAAAAATTTAAATTGCTTTTACGGATGAACTCTCAAACGATTTTATTTTCCCTCAAACCCCCTCTAACAATTTTTAAACGATTTGCCAAAAAAAACGGAAGTGAGGGGGCTTACTTCACAGAGGTCAAACTTCGCTCCATGTCGGTTCCATTCGGTTTTCGAAGAAGTTAAAGAGAATTCAACTCGAGTGGACTCGAGTTACGCCCAACTCGAGTTACGAACTCGAGTTGACCATCACTAACTTATAGCGTACTCTGTTACAACGGTCACATCAATTTGAATATTGAAGCATACATCAAAATATGTCAATTTAAATTATTTAACTATTATTTTATTTAAATATTGCATATTCAAGTTTAAATTACATACATACAGTATTGTTAACTAAATTGTAAGTGTAAAAGATGAGTATAATTTGATATCTCTAATGATTTTTTTGTAATGAACAAAAACTAATAAACATTAAGCACATGGGGTTTAACCTTTTTATTAGGTTGATAAAATCATATGTATGTAAGATAACCAAACAAGATCATTGAATTGTTTATAAATAATGCAGTATCATTTTTTTAAGTTTTCGCATCTGCGTAATTTGAAAATTATAATGATACAATATAATTACGTATATAAAATTAAGAGCATAATTGGGATTAATACAATAGGGTAAAGTGTCAATCAATTTAGTCGTAAACGCAAAACTTCCCAACTACACAAAGTTGCAAAACTACCTTCGGTACTGCGTCATACCACCAAGGTGGTAATGGAAAAAGTTAATATTTATGGGTAATGGCGTAATATTAAAATATGGTGAAAAATAAACTTACGTCAAGAAAATTCCCTCGTCCTATCACTTGTTTACCATCCGACAACGGAATTTCGTGATGCCCTTCATCATCAATACGCACTAATTTAAACATCTTGTAAATTATTTTATGGGAATTGAAGGAGTTTTAATAATGCATTCTCTTTGATAAAGGGATTGTCGTATACTATAGTATAACATACGACTTATTTAAAGCTAAAATGTATGTTTTATACGAAATACCACAAATAAACTCTATTTACAGCTAAGTATACAGGACAAATCGCTTGAGTTGCAGGAAATTAGGAATTTGACAGATCACAGAAACCGGTATAACGTTTTCGTTTTCGTTGGTTTTTCCTTGATGCGCGATTCACACATAGCCAGTACAATTGGTCAACAGAGTTCAGAAACTGGACTGTCAATTAACTGTTTCAGTGAGTCCATACAATGTATTACCGGCCTTCAAGACTGTCTAACTGTACTGGCCAAGTGTGAAACGCGCATGATTATTTTGTTTGGATTTGCAAGTAAAAAAAATGTTAGCTCCATGTTGGCCTACTGTATCAATTATGATTAGTGAATTTAATACAAGAAAGCGTAGATTACTCATGTAAATAAATAATGATGAACAAATTAAAAGTATTGTTATTTTGGCTATTTATTTTTATTCCAAATTGAAGATACTTAATTTATCTAAAATCCTTGAGTTTTAAATTATTTACAATTACTGGTGCGCATGGAAGTACTACTAGAACAGGAATGAGCTCATGTCGCAAAATTGAAGCCGAGCGAGACCTCTATAACTGTACCTTTTACCCCTCTCCGGCGATGGTGACTATGTTGCAATGTAATTTAAGAATGCTAATTAAAAAAAATATTGTTTTGTTGTGTTACGTTAGCAGGTTATTGCTTCAGATGGATTTTAATGTATTATGGTTATCATTAAAATATTTACCAAAATTCTGAATCAGACGTTGCTGAATAACAGTCTTGTGAAGTTTATGCCGCAAACCTAGCTTATTCCTTATATCTTAATTCTGAAATTAAAACAAAGTTATTTTAATAGAGAAAGGAAGAAATAAATGCTTAAGTGTTTGTTTTTTGTTCTTGAAGCAGCACTGGATAGTCATGCATGGTCACCGTAATGCTTCACCAACAAATTATGTTTATAGCTATTACCAAAGAGGGCTATTACCTGTAAAAATATAACCCACAATCAGCATAATACTCGCTTCGGCAAGCCTCCACGACATAAATTCTTCCCATTTAAACTAAGATTCTTCAAAAATATCACGAAATCAAAAAACTCTCCCGTTAACGTCTTAGTCGGAATGTAATGTGGGGTTGTCAGTGTAGTTGTCCAAATTTCAAACACATAAAAGAAAACCTGTACGCCAATCGCAAATCTTTTGTGATAATAATTTTTTATAAGTAACAACAAATAACATTGTTTTAACATGTCGCCAATAACTTATTATCAATATTTAGAAACATTTTAAAAGTAAATGTTTTTACTTTATTACATTACACCAATCGCCTATTTTTCTACAAACAACGAAAGGATCTGGCAACTCTAGGTCACTGTTAGAAAGGGACACAGTGGACACTTGTAGCCCTCTCACTCGGCTTCAATTTTATTTTGCGTGCACCAAAACCCTTACGCCCTTCGAACAAGGTTTTATTTTCTTTATTTTAACTGCAAGATGTACAGATAGAACTAATTCCTGTTGTACGTAGTACTTATTCCTTCCATGCTAGTGCGACATTACGAAACATAACAAATATAAAAATAAAATAAAAAACAGTTAATTTGGTTTTAAGTAGAAAAATACTTTTTAAGTAGTTCCAAAAATATTTTATTTCTAATCGAAACATTGGACATTATCCTTTGACAGTTGACAGTGACACTTGCTGATGTCAATGTCAACTATCCTCCCGATTTCTCCCTTTTGTTATAGTCATTTAAATTTTGTATATCAATGAAATTAACTTTTTATTTGTTAATATTTTCATATTAATTACCATCTGGTGGTGTTGTACTTTGTTGGCAAAGATCATGATATTTTAAACTTTAGACTTTAGGTTTAATATGATGAAGACTACAGGCTTAGGTTCTCATCGACCGCTTTCGGGGCAGCTATACAAATACACTAATGTAGTAAAAGGATGGCAGCAGCGATGGTTTGCGGTGGATCCGGAGACTGGAGTACTTTCTTATTATCTTTTCGATGGTCCTGGTGATACTATCCAGCCAGGACAACCTGCTCGAGGGGAGGTTGGTAAATAATTTTATTTGAAAATAGATTTTGTGAATGCTATTGCTAAAGTAACATAATGCTATTGCTAGAATAACATAAAGTTTTAAATTACACATGCAAGCATTAAACCATATCTTGTATTTGTGATTTCAGGCACATTTAGCTGCAGCGGTGATATGTCCAAGTGACGAGGACTCTCGTACGTTCACCATCAACTGCGCTTCAGGAGACATGCTAAAGCTCCGCGCTACTGACGCCAGAGCGAGGCAGGAGTGGGTGAATGGGCTTAGAGCTATAGCTGAGATACACACAAAAGTCAGTTTCGTCTAATTAACATTTTTATTCTGTATGATTATAAATTCAGAGGTTACACAGAAAATAATGTAATTCTGTTATTTAACTTTGAGCCATTATGTATTTTTTAACTGTAAATAACATAGTATACTAACAAAGGTAGACCAAGAAAGAATAGGTGGATAGATAGATAGATGAAGGGTGACATCAGAAAGAAAGTGGCGATGTTGGAAGATTTTTTTTTGGCTCCACTTGCCACTCCCATCATTCTCCTGACATATATTCCTCAGCGACCTGGGATACGGGGGTTTTTATTTTTAAAATTGTTAACAGACTTTCTAAATATAAATTACATATTTCTTATTTCTTTATCACAGCCTTCATCACTATTTCTAACCTAGTTTATAATCAATAAATTATTAAAAATCAAAATTAAAATTAAACTTGACTAGTGTGAGATTAAAATTTACATTACAATTAACTAAATTCAAAAACTAAATCGGAAGATAGATTAACTTGAAGACAAAAACTCAGTATGAGAGTAGCATGAGGATGGGAACATGAGGATATAGAAGTTGAATGTCTGTCTTCAGGCGATGGGCGCGAACCCGCCACTGCAGCCGCGCGAGCAGCTTGCGGTGCACGACGCCATGGCCTCCGCGCGGCAACAGCTGCAGGCCACCGAGCTCAGGTACACCGAGCTATGTCAAACATGCAGTGATAGAATAAGACTAGAATTGAGCTGATTTTTAGCAAGTATAGTTTAAACATTGCTGTAACCAAGAAGGTCATATATCTAAATGACGAAAATTTGCTAGTTATTTAACCTGTCAAGACATCCAAAAATTAAATACAGAAAAATCAATCCGAGTGTAAATTATTGCTTCATAGGTTAAATTTAAACATTTCTGTATACATTTTCCAGTGACGCAGCTTTGGCGAGATGCATTGAATCATCAGATTCACCTTTTCCACATACAGACCCAGATCTCTTACTTTTAAAGGTACATATCTAAATTATTATGTTATTTCTTATTATCTGAATAATATTATAAATGTGAAAGTGTAGATGGAAGGATGTTTTAGAGTTTATAGCCTAAATGGCTGAATGGATCTTGTTGAAAATGGGCATAGATATAGAAGGAGGAACATATAGAGTTTTTAATTCCATTTGAACGGAGTCACGGGCGAAAGGTACTAAATTTTTTCTCAAAAATTACTTAATGGTACCTTTGACCAAACTATAGCACAATTGTTGTGTGACTGTCGATTGTTTACTTGCACAACTAAAATAGGAGAAGTCTGCGCACCTCCATATAAGGTCATAGAAATCAAAGTGCGACAAAACAGTTGTGCGATAGTTTATTCAAAGGTACACTCTTAGTATATTTGATTATTGCGTTAGGCGACGTCGGCGGCCAGCATGCAGTGTCTGCTGCAGTGCCTCGGCATCCTGCACCGCCAGCAGCAGTGCGCCACGCTCAGCGGCCCCAAGCACGACCACTGACTGCTCACCAGCACTCACCATCCAGAGACAATGAACTCCAAACCATAGGCGTCACTATGATTCCAGTGGCCGGTAAAAAGAATAAGGAGCCAAATCAATTTGTTTTACAGTAAATAAATTTAGTATTCATGAATGCGAACAATGAGTTTGCATCTGCTAGGAAAGTAGAAAGAATCTGCTAGAAAGAACAATATAAGCATTTAAGGAGCCAAAGATTCACACGTGGCTCTGGAGCCTCAATTGAAGATCATTGAGGGATTAAGTGGAAAGACCAGGCCGTTAGTCAGGGAAGGGTACCAAGGAGAGCGGGCGGTTAGTAGTAAAATCGCTATACTGTAAAGAGAATTCTTTAATGATAAACAGATAAGTTAATTTTTAGGGTTACCGGCTCTATTTTAACCTAACCTGCACTACTCAAGGGTCTGTGGATTGTAGAAATAACAATTTTGGTCTCTAGAGGGGCAACTGCCCCCTCGTGGGGACGCCCACGCTCTTTTCTTACTCTATGGTGCGAGTGTTTGTGTCTATGGTGATACAAGTGTCATTCTCATTAAATTGTAGTTTGTTATAATTAAATACTTTAAGTATTCAAATTAAATATAATTAATATATAGAGTTATGCAAATTTGATAGCTGGTTAAATAAATAAATGTTAATTTGGACAATGTAGATTATTATTTTTCATCGTTTGACTAAAAATGTTTAGTTTACAATTTTCTATTTCTAATGCTATCAACAATTTTTATTAAGGCAATAACAATCATACTGACTTAATTTTTTTTTAAATATGTATATTTATAAACGTGGGTTCACACTGTTATTCATTTGTGTGGTAAAATATGTTGTTTTTTCCGCTATTGGAAACTTACGGTAACAAATATGTAATAATTAATGGAATACATATCTGTGCAAATGTTCATTTGTTTTTTATTTCCTTGTGTGCAGACGGCAAAAAGTGTCACAATCATTTGTCACAAGAAAGTTTATTTTTATGGTACTACCCCAATGTAGAGAGCGATTTCCGCAGCATTGGCGCAATTAATTTAATAGTGGTAGTGCCCGCTTAAACACCTTAGCACGAATAGGCCGGCACGCCCGGTGTAATACCACGACCACACAGAAGACAGGCGTGAAATGGAAACAATTCCGTGTTTCGTCTGATGAGTGTGGTGCCGGAGGCCTAATTTTAGTCCCTTTCTCTTTACCACCCTTTTCTCACAAGAAGAGGATGGAAAGAGGAAGTGGATTTGACGGTGGAGGATATGCATAGGAAGGGGAAATATCCTCTTTATGTGCGTCTCCTCCTCCGTTGGATAAGGGTAGGCAACGCATCTGCAATTGCGGATGTCTATAGGCAGCGGTCGCTTCGCCATTTTGGCGGATTGAGGTGGCCGCTTGCTCGTTTGCCACCTTTTGTTATAAAAAAAAAATAATAATACTCGTTAACTGACTTATTATTAAGTTTGTTTTTGTTATTTAAACCGATTTCGGCACCATTCGAGAACTCAAGAAATAATTACTCTCAATTTTAGTACGAAATCTCATTTTTATTACGTTATCCCTAATTATGCACTTCTTAATAGAAGCCCTGTGAACTACTGGGTTAAATTTTCCAAGTCACGTAATATGAAAGCAGGAGTTAAACATTATTAATATTGTTGTTATTTTTATTAAAAACAATTATCATTTCAAAATCCGTCGCAATATTAACTCATTTCGAACAATTCTCAGCGATCGACATACGTTTTTATCTTGAAATTCTATGAACTTATCTATGTCATATAATCTCAATAGAACGATTTATGGTAAAATGCATCTTGTGACAAAGAGAATAAAGGTGATTAGAAAATACCACTATTGCAGTAAAAAGATACCGTTCAATAACTTTTGTATGATATCGTAATCAATATAAAGACTTTCGATCTATATTAAATGCGTCTAATCTGCTTGAGTACCGCTTTGTTAGCACGTAACAATAGATTTGATATCGTTGCAACTATAAAACTCCGAGTGCCATTTTATCGCAGAACTATTATGCATGAGGCAGCATTAAATATACGAATACGAGTACTTATTTTAAACAATGTGAAATCATAAATTGGACAGATTATTTTCTTGATAACAGAAAGATATAAGTACGAACACAGACTGCGTGGCTCTATGCTAGCGTACATTTGCAGTATTTTACAAAATAAAGACAAATGAAAATACTGCCTGCCCTGTGAAACTCAGATGGTAATAAAATTGTTTTTGGCGTAATTAAAACCTTTCTATAAACGAAAAAGGTTTCACTTATAAAAACCATATAGAGTTAAAGAAAAAAATCCAATTGGATTTATTCACTCTGTCAGTTTTTGACATTTTTTAAATCTGTATCCCAAATAATTTATTACTAAAATAAATCGTGCAAAATGTGCGATCAAGAATTTAGAACTCTTCGTTTCGATCCGAGGTATCCATTTCAAAATCAGACAAAGTGAGTATATCAAAGAAAACCTTTCGAAAATATTGCTTATGAATATTCAATTTATACTTTCACGATAAGAAAACACAAATCAAAAATATCAAATACTAAAAAATGAATGACCACTTTATTTTCATTTACACCAATAATATAATCTTAGCTGTAAACAAAGGTCTTAGCCCACCAGATTTAGCTTAGTCGAGAGGTCACTACTAATCGCCTATTAAGGTGGCCTTTAAAATGTTTTCAGAGCGTGTTATGATAACTACTGCGACTTTTACAAATGTACTCGACTGCTCGGAGAAGTGGATGACTGCAAAATATTCAAGCGATACTTCGAAACGATCTGCCCAAACTTCTGGATATCGCAATGGGATGAGCAAAGAGAAAAGGGAGCATTTCCAGGACCTATATAAAAATTATTTTCAGTATATTTTACGTTTGATACGTTTACTTTGATATAATTCAGGGTTTTTCTTGAATTTGAAATAAAATTTTAATGAAAAGTCTTCAAATTTTATGAAAAGTTACAGTGTAGAGTACATATAGCGAGTTGGGTAAATGGTTTGTACTGGAAATGAATACTCGACACTCTTACATTAATGGCCATTTAGTATACTTAGTACACCCTTGTTTTAACTGAATGTTTTCAGTATGTATGCGCAATTGCTATTATTTTTGGCAAGGCAAACATTGTCTCTGATCATCTCGTTCGTAAGAACTTGGCCATTATCTTAATATTGGTGATTTATATTTCAATGAGTGTTCCACATAAAAAAGATCGCGGTCGTTTACCGGGCCTAAACTTGGGTAAAATGGGAATCTTAAATCAAACAAAACACTCGTAATTAACTCATTTAATTATCTATCACTGCTTCCTATGCGAAAATTAAATTAAATATAACAACGTAGACGTGATCAGTTAGATTCTGCCGGGGAAGGTGCCCTCGGAGCGCTGGGTGTCCCACTTGTCTACCCACTCATTGGGGCAGAGCGACTTGTACACGCGCATGAAGTAGTTGCAGGGCTCGTACTTCTCCCCCCTCACTTTCTGGCACCGGTGGAAGTCCAGGTAGCTCTGGTAGCAGTGCCTGAACATTATACGTGATAATAGTAATTTCAAGAAAAACCTACATTTTCTGATGAATAATTTACAAGAGTGAATGTAAAAACTTGATTGATTTTTAATTGTATAAAAATATTTTGTAAAACCCAAGTTGTGTCTAAGGTCAATCAGAAGGTATTCAACTTGTAACATCCAAGCTGTTTGAACATTGCGGAAAAAATGCGCCTCCGTCTACGCGTCATATTGCAGATGAAACACGGCGAAGCGCTTGGCTCGCCTCCAAAATGATATCGATTTTTTACGGTTTCAACGTGTTAGTTGACCAAAGCTGTCTGTTTCAAGTAGAATCAATTAAACATATGCATAGATTTCAATTCAAACACAAGCAAACTAAAAGTAACTCACGATGAATGAAATATGATGGTTCTATTTGGTGAATGAATTCAAATGGTAATTTAAAAAAATACGGTTTAATTTTTGTAATTCGAAAATTCAGAGTATTCTAAATTTTTATGCAACAATAATTTCACATATACTTTTACAACCATTAATACACATAAATTTTTTTTGTTTTAATTATTTCATTTATATTTGCCACCTAGCTCTTATAACCTATATTACATATCTTAACTATGTGAGTAGTTAATTAATAAAATTAAAAATGACTCCATTTTAAGGACTCCATGGCCAGGATGAAATGTATGACTGCAAGGCAGGTGTATCCAGTTGTCAGTGACAGTGTTATTAAAATCTGTCTTTACATTACCTTGTCTGGTTTTGGTTAGGGAACCGAGGGTCGAAGGGAGCTGTTTTGATGTCAGCGGGCGATTTGATCATTTCTGGCATTTTACTGCAACCAAAGAACAAGTAAATTCATTCCTTTTGTTCTTTATTAGCTGTTTCACAGATACTAAATACAATGACAATAAACATATAATAGAAAACAAGATTATTAAATTAAAGATAAGCAGAGTTTACGATACAAAAGTTATTTTATCATTATTTAACTAGAGGCCTCGTCTTCCGTTCCTCCTCACAAGATGTCTCTCTGTATTTTTTAACTTCCTGCATATAAAGTGACCATGCATCTTTTGGAGTGTTGTCAACGGTTTGTTCATCTATTGCTTTTGCTTTCTTTACCAAGCCAGTTTTAAGGACTCTGCCCCCTCGTCTTTTTCCTATAAATGGTAATACTGGTTTTTTAATTGGCTTTTTCTCTGGCTCCATAGTTGGCTTAGTGACTTCTTGCATTTTCTTAAACATTTCCAAGAAGCTACCATCATTTTTAATAGGCATAGTCATGGGTTTAGATTTTGATGTGGAAGCAGAACTTTGTACAACTTGATCTGGTGTTGGGAGCATATCAGCAAAGTTGGGACCTTCTATTTCTGGTGGATCACCATACTCAATGTCATCTACTGTGGTAGACTCAACAGCACCCGGTGGTGGTTTGACCTCTTTCTGTGGGCTCTTAGCTCTGTCCTTCTTTTCCTGCCGACTTCTGTGCATTTTCCAATAACGCTTTCTGTCAGCGACTGTAAATTGTCCACGTCGTTCGTCATCACTCGGAGTTCCATTATGACTACGAGATCTAGATCTAGATTTTGATTTGGACTTCGAAGATGAAGTGATCCTTTCTTTTCCTCTTGATAATGATCGTGACTGAGATCTGCTTTTGCTTTCAGACCGACGTTTTACATTTCCCTTTGAGCGGGATTTAGGTTTAGGTGAGCCACGTCTATTCCGGTGACGTGATTTGGATCTTGAACGTCTAGAGGATCCAGATGAATGGCTGGATACTGATCTAGATCTGGAATGATTTGATTTTGGAGTGCCCGAGTGTTTACGCTTCGATTGTTTCTGTGATGAGTTTGAATCAGAGCTGGAAAACGATTGACTCCTGGCATAACATTTTGGAGGTGTAACAGAACTATCCCTTGGTTTCCTCTGTTGTGTTGGTGATCTCCTTCCCTTGTTTTTATATTTTCTTGGTGGGGTGAGAGAATGGTCAGATCTTTTATGAACTTTAGGTGTTCCAGGTGAGGTGTCAGTTTTTTTATAAGCTTTTGGTGGGGTTTCTGAGAGCTCCTTTTGTTTTCTAGTAGATAAAGTTTTATTTTGTCTCTTTTCTTTACTAGAATAAGATCTCTCTTTGTGCTTTACTATTTCTCTATCAACACTGGCTGACTTTTTATGAGTGCTTCTCTTACCACTAGGAGTACATGAATGATTGCGACGTGTCTTACTCTTCTTTATTGGAGGAGTCAATGAATGATCACTGCCTCTACGTGATCTTTCAGAATGAGGTGACTCTGATGGGCTCCTTTTTCTTGTATTTTTCTTTATTGGAGACCGAGAGTAAGACCTAGACCGTGAACTAGAATGGTCACTGGAAGAATACTTAGCACGCCTTGACTTAGATCTACTTTTAGAATGTCTTTTTCTACTACTCTCTTCATAGCTACTGTCCCGTTTCCTTGAATAAGATCTTTCTTTCCTTTTATAAGGAGAAACACTTCTAGACTTCGATTTATAAGCCGTCTGCCTCCGGTCGCCGGACGTGGCGCCGACAGGAGAGCGGGAGCGCCCTCGAGCCCTAGCATAGTCGTAGCCACTTGGTGCCGCAGAATAAGTATCCCTCGTATCTGGGTATTTATAAAAGCCGTCAGACCGAGAGTAATAACCCGAATCGTAATTATAACCGTAACCCGTGGGAGCATAGTGCTGGTAATCGAAGTGGGGCTGGCCGTAGGAGCTGTAGCTGACACCAGTCCAGGGGTCCGTGGTGGGGATGGGCGCGGCGAGCGGCGGGACGTGCTGCGTGGCATAGTCCGCCTCGGCGCCGGGTGGCCCGCCGTCCCAAGCCCCGGGAGCGCCGTACGAGGACATACTTATACCAGCCTCTTCGCATAACCTGCGGCAGTCTGTAGGTAGGCACACACCTACAAACAGAATAACTTTTCGGTGTAGACAACAACTCTGCTCTCCCCGCTCGTGAAAGGCCGTCGCAGAACGGTATTGATGGATTGTAGTAAATACATTTTTGTGGCGAGAAACAACAAATTACGTAATCCGAGCCCGAAAATGCGAATTTTGGCTACGATTATGCATGCGTTATGTAGAAAGCTTTTAAATATAAAATATAATAATACCTGTCTACGTATGCTCACCTTTTTGTTTGAAAATTACTTTTCTTAAGGAAATTCAATAGAAAATGGCAGCGAACACATTCGCTTTACACATACATAGACAATAAAAAAATTGATAAAGCTAGAGTTGTCTGTCACAATGTAGCCAGTGTTAATATTACATTATTCGTTTAATTTTAATTGAAGCAGTTATATATAACAAAAAAAAAATCGTAGTAGACTCTTAAAGAAAGAGAAGAGCATAAAAAGCAACAATTATGAAATTATGTCACACTAGCGGACGCTGGCGACTTCGCCAGCGCAGAATATTATTCAATGGCAGAATAATTTAGGTGGCAATTGTAACCACAAATCAAGACTATTGTCTATCTGGATTAATTAATAATCTGTAGTCTTTGTCAATTCAATGGTCTCTTCTCCTCTTGTCAATTGACTCAACTCAAATCTCAAATTCAATTGTTAAATCAAATTAAATGTAAACCGCAAAAGCAAATAAATTTAATAAAGGTAGCGTTTGATTTCTTATGTTACAGAGTTTGCAAACTAGCTTTATAAATTGAATTTATCTAATGAGTAAATCAAAAGTATCGGCAGAATGGAAGAAACGAGTAAAATCGGAATATATGAGGCTTCGTCAAATGAAGGTAAAGGCGGCTTGGATTTTTCAGTATTTTTTTTCTTTAAATGTTAGTTTATGTTCCGCATAATATTTTAAAACTTGCTTTACATACTGAATGCATACTGTTATAGAGATTCAAACGAGCGGACGAAGTAAAAGTTGCCTGGGCGCGAAACTTGCGTATAATGTCAGAGGCGATAGAGACGCGTGAATCGGAGACTGCGGAACGGGGTCGTCGGCCTTTTTGGCCTCCTCCATCGCCTAGTCCTAGCCACGAGAGTCTCATGAAAAGAGCTGAAGTTACATATACTGATTGTACGTATTACTTTACGCGTGTTACGGGTTTGAGTTATGTGGTTATGTATTTTAAGAAAATCAGAAAATGAATGCCTAAATATTTGGATTTACTTATTTCAGCATCTGGAGTTGTAACAACACAACAAGTGCCTATCCGTATTATAAACTCTGTGAACCCTATACCCACTATGTACACATGGGCACCGACTCAGAAGAACTTCATGGTGGAGGATGAGACAGTGCTTCACAATATTCCATACATGGGGGATGAGGTGCTGGATCAGGATGGGACATTCATTGAGGAGCTCATTAAGAACTATGATGGAAAAGTTCACGGTACAACTGACATTTTACTAACAGAACTAAAAGATTGGTACTAGTGTGTTTACTTTTAATTTACTGTAGAAAAGTTTGAAGTATATAAAAATACAGCTTTTTACTTGTGTTGCTGCTTAGGTCTGCATCTATTTTACGATCATATCATTTTAAAAGTGATATATACCATGGATCACCATATTAATATGAAATTATTAACATTATTCATATCATGGTATTGTAGATGCATATACAGCTTATTGTTTTGTCTGTAGGTGACAAAGAAGGAGGTTTTATAGATGACCAGCTGTTTGTGGATCTGGTGCATGCACTTATGACATATCAGACAAAAGATGAAGTTGCCGAAGAAAGGAAGGAGAGGGAACTACGGAACTCTAAAGAAGAGAAAGATGTAAGGGTTGTTTTTATTCATTTAACTTATTAGTTAAAATTTTACTTACTACTGATTTTTATTTATTTCCAGAAAGATACAAGTAAAGAAGGTAAAGAGAAGGAAATAGAAGAAGTCAAGGATGGTGAGAAGAAAGCAGTTGTTGATAAGCAGTTCCCGATCTTCACAATATTCCAAGCTATCAGCTCACAGTTCCCAGACAAGGGCACAGCTCAAGAACTGAGGGAAAAGTATGCATTTTTAGATAATTATAAGCATATGATTATGATTTTGCATATTTTATAACATTGTTTACTAGTTTATTCCTTAGTACTTACATTGAAGGAAAATATTATGATACAACCTGCACATTTTGGTGCAGAAATTTAAAGATATGTGTGAAGTTGCCCCTAAGTTGGGCTCCGAGCCGCAATGGGGACATATAGTGAGCTGGTGATGGTCATGATGTGCAGATACGTGGAGCTGACGTCCCTGCGCGACCCGGACGCGCTGCCGCCGGAGTGCACGCCCAACATCGACGGGCCCCTCGCGGAGTCCGTGCCGCGCGAGCAGACCATGCACTCCTTCCACACGCTCTTCTGCCGCCGCTGCTTCAAGTACGACTGCTTCCTGCACCGTGAGTCTCTGTTTTTCTCACTCTCTCACACACACTCCCTCTCTCATACCACACTGTATTATCAATATTAAACACACATGACAATATGGAACAGTCTTTATTTCCATAATAATACACAAAAATATGTGAGAACAGACCATATAAAAACATAGACAGGCATATAGTCATATTATATTGCATTGCGACAAAAAAAATCACAAACATCCATAAATAGTGTCAACTTCATCTAACTTAAAATAAATTTTAAGATCTCATTGTAATGAATTTGAATTTTATATTGCGTTACTGTTTTTGAAGTTTAAATACTTATAACTATAATAATTGCATAACAATGTGTGGGCTGACGGCATGTGTTGTCTGTTTGCTGACAGGCAGTCAGGGCGCAGGTAAGCCTGTCATCCGCAACCCTTACATCACCATTACCTTGTTATTACCTCGCCTTTACCTCTTCGTTACTTCGCCGTTACCTCGCCATTACCTCGCTACTTCTGCAGACCGCTGCTCAAACATTTATTATTCACTGCCGCACTGACAATTGTTGCATCAAATGTCATTAAAAATCCCATTAATGACAGTTATTTAGTCCTTTAATGTAGCCTTATTGTGGAACTATCTATACTAAAGGACTGCTAGACTTGTCTCTGAGTGCGGTAGTTGAATTCGCATATACCCTGTGAATGAACAATGAAAACGCACCCTTAATGTCGCCCGTTACTTTGCTCAGTTTTATTATTTGTGCTATCCTAATCTAACTGTTCTGTCTCATCATATTATTATTTTAGTTTGGTTGTATGTAGTTATGTGTTTATAACGATTATTACTAATTAGTGATTTTTAAAAAAAAATTTCAAAATAAATCGGATTTATAAGAGATGTTTCCCAGTTGTCAAAATTATTATTTTTATGCACAAAGTACTTAGTTCTAAGTTGATATATTCAAGTATGGACTTAAAGTATGGCTGCTGTGTGAGATTTAACATCTTAAATATTATCATTGAAATAGTATAGTTGAAATAAACTGCATGACTGTTTATGTAAAGAGATGCATAAAAGAGTATAATTGGACAATCTGAATGTAAACAAATGAGAAATTTCTGATTTGTATGAGATAAAAAAGTTGAATGTATGAGGATGTTGTGAATGTGAGGTATGCGTGTCACACTGCTGTGTCGTATACAGTTAACATTAAATTAGGTTTACAAGCGTGCCACCCCGGACCCAACCTGAGCAAGCGCAAGGGGCCCGACCTCAAGCCCTTCGCGGAGCCCTGCGGGTCCAGCTGCTACATGCTCCTGGTTAGTACAACATGCAACACCACACTAACAACTTATAGTTACTCAGCGATAACGTAGCTTTTTAATGGTGAAAGAATTTTTGAAATCGGTGTAGTAGTTTTTGAGTTACATCAATACACACGAAAATTCAAAAAAAACAAATCTATTCTCTTTATAATATAAGTACAAATATAGATATAGATTTTTAAAACATTAGCATTCTTTCAATGATTATTGCAACTACAAACTATCGACGGAATCGGCATTAACGATTATACAAATTTCGTTATTCGTTTTCTCAAATGTCCATCATTCTTAATAATCCATCCATTGTGTTAATTTGATACAATATTGTAAGTTGTGTGGCAACAGGAGGGCATGCGCGAGAAGCTGGCGCGCGAGCAGGCGGCGGGCGAGGAGGAGTCGGGCAAGGCGCACGCCATCGACTCCCCCAACGACGCCTCCTCCGAGGACAGCAACGACAGCAACAGATACCAGAAAGGTCCAACAACATCTCATACAACTTCATACTAATTTAAGATTTCAATCATTCTGTACTTTACAGTTTTATAGAAATTAAATATGTCAATGGCTTGAAATACGCACGCATCGTAATGCAGAACATAATTGTGTAGCGCGACATAGGAGTGGGGTGACCTACAACTGTCTAAGAAGTCGATAATTTATATAATTTGTTTTTTTAATACCCGAGCAGGCAGCAACAGCAACTCCAGCAATAGCAACTGGAGCTCCAACGGCGTGGGCAAGCCTGCCGACCCCGCCCCGCCCGCTGACCCCGCCTACAACGCGCTCGGTGTGTACTGCACTAGTCTAATACCTACCCTAAATATTATCCTATGAATTTATCCGCATAGTATTTTAAAAAAAATGTGAGAAAACCTAAAAACTGTTCGTCCCCCGACACTTTATATGGACGAATTGTATTCCAAGTGTTACTTCAGATTTTGTTTTATATCTGTGCAAAATTTCAGTAAACTATGTTGGACTGTTGCATAATTATTATGTAAACTTTAAAAAACAAAATAATTGTATCCTACTGGAACCGTAAATGTTTCCAGGATCAAAAGTAGCCTATGTGTTCTTCCAGACTATCCTCTCTGTCTATGTCGAATTTTATCGAGATATGTTGAGCAGATTAGGCTACATAATATTAGTATGAAGTGCGAAGTGCGAAGTGCGGAGTGCAATGGCAGTGCAATGGCAGTGTGCGTGTGGCTGCAGGGCTGACGGTGGGCGACATCGAGTCGGAGTGGACGGGCTCGGACCAGTCGCTGTTCCGCGCGCTGCACAAGGTCTTCCCCTCCAACTACTGCGCGCTCGCGCAGCTCATGCTGTCCAAGACCTGCCAGCAGGTGCTGCCCACACCACCACACCACCACACCACCACACCACCACACCACCACACCACTCATGTGTTCACTTACACAGAACTTTGTTCATAAATAAAACAAAGTAATTAGTAGACCAACAATATGAACGAATGAACGAACGAAAATTACAAAACAACCGCAATGAAACACTTTTTTAATTTCCTTAATCTTATTTTGATTTACTTTTATGTTACTTAGATTGTTACTAAAGCCTGATCGTAACTTAACTATATAAATAAATAGATAGATAGATAAACAAAAGGGAAAAATTCCTATCAAAGACCCAAGTTAAGAATATGTGTGGCAACCTTCTTCTAGAAATCTTATAGAATTGTTTCATTTCTGATCATTTTATTATCTCGTTTTAGTGATTGGTATTTTAGTTACGGACAGCGCGGCAGACAAAGATACAAAACAAACCTGTTACTCCAGATAAAACATCTTTATTACGTGTGCAGGTGTACTCGTACTGGATCCGCACGGGGCAGGAGGAGTGCCGCGTGGAGGCGGAGCTGACTCCTCCGCGCAAGAAGAAGAAGAAGCACCGGCTGTGGTCCGTGCACTGCCGCAAGATACAGCTCAAGAAGGACTCCGCCTCGCACCACGTGTTAGATACACCTTGCACTTGCATTCCTTCAAACTACTACCTATATCTTTACATATAATAAATTTGGAGTGTCGGTATTTGCGTTACTAATAAAAAAAAATCGTATCTAATTTTTTTGTCTGTCTGTCTGTCTGTCTGTTTGTCTGCAAGCCGCGTTTGTCCCGGGTAGTCTCCAAAACGGCTGGGCCGATTTCGAATGGACTTTCACTGAAGAGACAGTTGAAATAGATACACATATTATAGGCTATTTTTTTTTTAATTCTGTGCTGGGAAATAGCGTAAATGGTGGTCCAAATTTGCGGGCGACAGCTCGTTTAATAATACAATTTAATTTAATTTCAATAGTTTACAGTAAAAATCTTTTAGAACACATAAGATATGTTGCTAGTATGTAAGTAATGTGTGTCGTCAGGTACAACTACACGCCGTGCGACCACCCCAACCAGCCCTGCGACAGCATGTGCCCCTGTCTGCAGTCGCAGAACTTCTGCGAGAAGTTCTGCCAGTGCAGCAGCGACTGTGAGTCTCCTCGCACCTCACACACCCCCCACACCTCACACACACCTCACACACCTCACTAGAATCTACATCCACTAACACTAGCCTTAGCCTTACTATCTCAGTTATCCTTTTCTATCTCAGTTTTTCTCGTAAAATGATAAGGATGGTAATATATGTATAATTGTCAAGTTTGAAGGCACGTTGACATCCAGGCATCATTTTGACAGTAGTAGTGCCCGCTTTAACATCTTCGCATGAATGGTCCGGCACGCCCCCAGTAGTACCACGACTATGCAGAAGACAGGCGTCAAATGGAACCAATGCAGTGTTTCGTCCGATGAGTGTGGTGCCGGAGGCCTAATTTAAGTCCCTTTCTCTTTACCACACTATTCTTATAAGGAGAGGATGGGAAGGGGAAGTGGATTTGACGGTGGAGGAGAATCATAAGAAGCGGAAATATCCTCTCTATGTGCGTCTCCTCCTCTGTCGGATAAGGGTAGGCAACGCATCTGCTATTGCGGATGTCTATGGGCAGCCGTCGCTTCGTCATTTTGGCGGATTCAAGTGGCCGCTTGCTCGTTTGCCACCTTATGTAATAAAAAATAAATAAATAGGCCAGAACCGTTTCCCGGGGTGTCGGTGCAAGGCGCAGTGCAACACGAAGCAGTGTCCCTGCTACCTCGGCGTGCGCGAGTGCGACCCCGACCTGTGCGTGGCGTGCGGCGCCGACGCGCCCGCGCCCGGCCCCGCGCCCGCCCCGCGCCACGCGCCCCACGCGCCCCACGCGCACGTCTACTGCCGCAACGTCTCCGTGCAGAGGTGCACGACTACTGAAACACAAACACAACATTGCTGCAATGTCAGCGCTGCAATTGCTGCAATCTTCAAATGCACATTTCGGTTGGCAGCGGTAGCTTATCACGTTGTAATATAAAAATGTGCGCAGGGGTCTGCACAAGCACCTGCTGCTGGCGCCGTCGGACGTGGCGGGCTGGGGCATCTTCCTGAAGGAGGCGGCGCACAAGAACGAGTTCATCTCGGAGTACTGCGGCGAGATCATCTCGCAGGACGAGGCGGACCGCCGCGGGAAGGTCTACGACAAGTACATGTGCTCCTTCCTCTTCAACCTCAACAACGGTCAGTGCGGTCACACACACACACATTCTGTGGTATCTTTCAATGGATTAGATAATTCTTAATACTTCCTTCTTACTAATATTATAAATGTAAATGTTTAGATGAATGGATGGATGGATATTTATTTTAAGTTTACCGCCAAAAAGAATGAACACATATTGACCAAATTTGTTCGTAAAACCGCCGGAAAAAAAAAATCTATTAAAACATGAACAACGAAAATAGATCTCATTTACTTTTTGATTATTTTAGTCTATACTAGCTGTTGCCCGCGTGTACTTGAAAAATAATAAAACATCTAGTCTATGTTATTTACTAATAACATAGCTTTTAATGGTGAAATTTTTTTTTAAATCTTCCCGGTTATTTTCATTTATTTCAATACATACAAAATCCTCTTTATAATATAATAAGTATATAAGCAACAAGCGATACGTTGTATGGCAGACTTCGTGGTGGACGCGACGCGGAAGGGCAACAAGATCCGGTTCGCGAACCACTCCATCAACCCCAACTGCTACGCCAAGGTGATGATGGTGAACGGAGACCACCGCATCGGCATCTTCGCCAAGCGCGCCATACAGCCCGGGGAGGAGCTCTTCTTCGACTACAGGTACACACACATACTGACTGCTGTTTTTTTATCATTTTGTATAAAAAGGTTCAAATAAGTCTTCCTTAGAAAATGATTGAAAAATCTTTTTCTTTAGCTACAAGTAATCAGCAAATAGTATAAAAACGTTTTTACTATTTTATTTAATTTATCTGATATTTTGTATTCCTTTTTAGGCAATAAATTGATATTTTATTTATCATCAATTTAGTTTCAGTCGAATTTTACTTTTAAAACTAAGCATACTAAATTTGTATATTTGATTAGTTACAATTTAGTACTATTTTGACAAATAATAAAATTTAAATTGTTTTATGAAGATACGGGCCGACAGAGCAGCTGAAGTTCGTGGGCATCGAGCGGGAAATGGAATTCTTATGAGAACAAAGCAAACAGTGACTTGTGTCACTGGCGCTGAGTCCCCACTGCGAAACATCCACAGAGACATGTTTGCAATGAACATTTTGTTAGTGGAGACAAACTCGTCAACAAGTGCCTTGTGACGTGACTCGCGTCTGACTTTTTGTATTATTTAAATATAACGTGATATTTGTAACAATGTATTCTTGTAGTTTTAAGAATTTGACAATTAAATTGCTACATTTTAAAAAGATGTTTTTTTTCCCTCACTGTATAGGATCATAAAGGTAGGGAAGGCCCAAAAAAAACTTAAAACTATTCTATTGTGTGCCAAAAATAATAAAACAACATTTAGGAACCGTGATTTTATTATCATAACAAATTATACTACTACTAACTCTGTACAAAACATCTGCATGTCGGTCACGCTAACTGTACTGCAAGTGTAAACATTAAAATGTAAAATAAAACACTTCCAAATACAACCTTATGAAACTCAGTATTATTGTATGATCACATTTATAGTATTAATATAACAATCATAAAATATCCAATTTTGTAAACTTTGAATCCAATTTGTATCAAAAATTAGGCAAAAATTTAATTCTTCACTTACATAAAGCTATGTAACAATCAAAATTAGAACTACATTCAATTTTATTTTTAACAGAAATTGTGAGCACAATTTATTAAAAATAATTAATGAAACCAAAACCTTTAAAATGATTATGTACACAGTAGTGAGTTCCTTATTTACAAGCTTCTATTTACAACCCGAGTCTCAATATATGTCACCACCAAACATTGGATAACATAAAAAATATCTAATGCTTGTTACACTTGGATTTAATATGAGTGCTGATAATTGAGGGACTAAAACTACAAAACCAATTCAGATATAAAAAAGTGACATTATACATCAGGTTCAGAAACAAAATTGCAGTATGGTACTGTACAATAATATATTAATATTGGACTAAGACCCTTATCCCGCATTAGCAGACTACTTTGTAGTAAATGCTAGTCACAAGAACCATCGGACCAGCCGTCGCGCCACCGCTCATGCACTTTGCTGCAGTCAAACACAGGCTTGCCCAACTTCACATTCACTGTGTTGTGTCGCTCACACAACCACTTCGCTAACTCATCTCTTGATTTTGTCTTTGGTGGATGTGCTTTAATACTGTAAAAATGTACAAAATAGTATTTAAAAACATACAGACGAATTGAGTACCTCCTTCTTTTGGGAAGTCGGTCAAAAATCAGAAAAATTCACTTGAACAAGTAGAGCTTATGGGGATTTCTCACTTATCATGAATGAATTTAACATGGTTTAAAAATTATGTTTTTTTTTACTATAAATAGAGCTACTGTTATAAATAGAAAGATGTAATACTCACTCTTCTTTAAAGTCTATAGCGCATGGCTCACATGGGTAAAATTCTCCAAACAGTTTGAAAAATTTATCCATGTCTTTAGCTTGTGATGTAGTTGGTTTCTCGGGGTAGTATGAAGCCATTGAATGAAGGAATCCCCATGTTGAGACCCCCAACTCTTCTTTATCCAAAGGACAATCCTTTCTTTTTCCTTGTTCGGGGGGCTAAAACATATTACATACCATTTCATTGTAGATTTTTTTAACCTTTGTGAATATTAATATTACGTAACTTGAATTATTTTTAGTTTATCGTCCCACCGAATTCGAAATTATTACGAAGGTTAATTTATCAGTGCAAATATGCTTTTCAGGGATTCATAGAATTTCAAGCAAACTTGGACCTTAACTATATAACCTTACCGGTGCAGTAGTCGACGGGGCAGGAGTGTCTTTCTTGGTCTTTGATTGTTTCTTGGACCATGTTTTAAAGTCATTGCAAGCCCTGCAAGGCTTATCTTCCTCTTCATGAGAAGGCATTTTTATCTGAACTCATTCGTCCTCATGAAATCAAAATTAAAGTTGCGCAACAGCACAAGCTTGATAATAACTCTAGATCATTTTGTGTTATTTATGTATTAAGTTTAGGACACGAAATTTAGTAATTGGATAATGTTGAAATAATTTGAAAATTAAGATTTTAAATTCAAAATTTTCGCCCCGATCAACAAATTGTCATTTGCTGTCATATGTCAAAGTGAATTCGTTTCACATGACAATATTTATCTAGTGTGCTATGCAAGGAAAATTATCTGATTAGAAAAATGTGTTTATGAAATTATTTTATTTCTTAAGGAAAGGAAAAGATTATTAGTTTCTTATGAATGAAGAAGTTAATTTCTTAGTATACAAGAAAATGAACACAGCGGACATGATATTGATCTGAATATTGGGCAGTAAAAGGGACGGATGAAAAGAGACTACATGTGGCAGAAATGCGAATGTTAAGATGGATGTGTGGGGTAACACTATTGGATAAGGTACGAAATGTTATATTAGAGGAAGTTTGAGAGTAGCCCCAGTGGTAGAGAAGGTAAGGAGTAAAAGGTTAGCATGGTATGGGTATGTTAGGAGGAGGGATGAATCGCATGTTACAAGGAGAACGATAATTATGAGTGTGGAGGTACATCGGTAAAGGTAGTTCTAGGAAGAGATGTATCCATTGCGTGAAAGGTGAGATGATAAAAAACGGAGTGATGACTGAGATGACGTATGATAGAGTTATTTGGAGGACAAAAACCTGTTGCGCCTATGGGAATAGGACAAGGAGGATGATGATGATGAATTCATATAAATAATCTGAACAAAAAAATGAAAATAATGTTCCTAAAAGTTTTCGAATAGGAATTAATAAAAAGTCAATGTCTTCAATATTCAAAATATATATTTTAATTAATTTTACATATTGACTAGCTTACATGGAAACAACATACATAATATATTTGATTTAACTTATAGGGACATCGTCATAGTATAGGTTAATAAAAACTCTCACATAAGTTATTTTCGCAAAAACTTAACATTACATTGCATTTGTCTGGTCTTTTAAGTAAACAGTCCACAGAAGAATAACTTGTATACATTCAACTGCTGCCTTCGCACGCCGCCACGATTTCTGAAACATCAAACAAATCAGATTACTGACTAAAGAAAGCAAAATGAAAATTCAGTTAAAAATATCTCAGATATATCTTTACGTCATGTAGTGTTGAAAAGTTTTAACAATTTCATGACGAAATATTACATTAGCTGATGTTACAACGGTAATTTTTTTTACAATGCGCGGTTCACACTTGGCCAGTACAGTTGATCAGTAACGCTCAACATCTCGAATGTCAATAAACTGGCACAGGGTGAACGCTAACTGACATCAGTGAGTCGAACAATTTATGACTTCGCATCTATCCAACTGGACTGGCCAAGTGTGGACAGGGCAAAAATCAGGATTCACTACAAAGAATGAATTTAAAAATGTCATGTGTAGGCATTATGAGCAGAGTCGTACTGTCCAAGATGTGTTGTAGCGCGGCAACGGTAGCGGAGGCGGGCGCGTGGCGCTGCAGATAGCTCTCGCCCGCGTCGCAGGCGCGCGCCAACTGCGGCTCCAGCGGCAGCGCGCCCAGCAGCGGCGCGCCCCCCTCGCCCCCCGCCGCACCCCCCGCCCCGCACAGCGCCGCCGCGCCGCCCGTCGTCGCGGGGAACACCTCGCTGCGGCTCTGTAACACCACTTACACATCATACACATTTCTACTGAAAATAAAGAATTTTGAAAGCCCATGTCGTAAGTTCAATATTCCTCCTGTCAATCACTAACATCAACTTAAATAACTACGAGCTGTCACACGCAAACTTCGTTAATGCGGATTTAAGAAAACGAACATGGTAAAATTGTCCAATGTTTAGATATTATTAAATAAAGCGGTGTAACGTATGAAGGATACCTTGCAGTTGGGGCAGATGAAGACAGACATGTTCTCGATCACGCCGAGCAGACGCACGCCGAGCTTGGCGCAGAAGGAAAGCTCCTTGCGCACGTCCAGCAGCGCCAGCTCCTGCGGCGTGCTCACCACCAGCGCGCCCGACAGCCCCGCGCCGCGCAGGTACTCCACCGCCGACAGGTGCTCGTCCGACGTGCCTGCGCACACCTGCGGCTGGAGAGCGCCGCCCGCAGCGCCCACAGCGCCCACAATGTGTCGTGGGCATTGTGTGTGTTAAAGTGGGCATTGTATGTGTCAAAGTGGGCATTGTATGTGTCAAAGTGGGCATTGTGTGTTAACGTGGGCATTGTATGTGTCAAAGTGGACATTGTGTGTTAACGTGGGAATTGTGTGTGTCAAAGTGGGCATTGTATGTGTCAAAGTGGGCGTTGTTCGTGTCAAAGTGGGCAGTGTATGTGTCAAAGTGGACATTGTGTGTTAACGTGGGAATTGTATGTGTCAAAGTGGGCATTGTATGTGTCAAAGTGGGCATTGTGTATGTCAAAGTGGGCAGTGTATGTGTCAAAGTGGACATTGTGTGTTAACGTGGGAATTGTATGTGTCAAAGTGGGTATTGTGTGTGTCAGCGTGTAAGGCTCACCTGGCGGCGTGTCAATGAGCAGGTAGTCCAGTTCGCCCCACTCCACCTCGCTCAGGAACTGCTTGATCATACCTACGCAACGCAACATTTATTACTCGATATAAATCTTCTCTTTTGGCACTTTCAAAAACATCTAGTTTTGTTAGCCATTTAATAAATTCGTGTAACACAAAACGAAGTACTAAACGTTAAGTACTAAATGGACAAGTGCCAAGCGCAAAGCTCACCATTTTTCTTGGGCCCCCTCCATATGACGGCGTCGTCGGGGCTGCCCAGCAGGAACCCGATAGACATCAGGGACAGATTGTCCGCCACGTACTAACAACAAACAGTACATACTTATTTATATTAATATCCCGGTGTATAACTACCAGCAATTAGTAAACTACGGCAGAATACTGCAACGACATTTTACATATAAATTTTGATATCTCTCAGGTTGCAAGCGGAGCTTACGAAGTGTTTTATTTCAGTATACGGCCCTTAGTCGTCAATTCGATTAGATGAAATAAGTTATCATGAAATCAAATATATTGGACCATTATATACAGACAAAGTTTTCGTATATTTCCATTCGTATTTACAAAAAGTAGTTAATGGCTGTGGATTAAGTTATAGTGCATTTTCAAGTATTGTGCTCGCCATTAAAATTTATAATTTACTTGTATCGGCCGGAGCACAGCGGGAGATAAGATACCGTGATAACAGTTAAAACTTTGCTCTCATGCTATGAAAAATCACAAAACAATTCTGAGATTTGTAGTTAATGGTATAAATTCGATAAAAATGTTTGACATTTCAAAATTATTATCAAATCGCTACTATCAATGAAACAATAATTTAGCTCAGTCATGTAAAATGCACATTTAAATAAATAGATTGAAATGAATTTGCAACTTGTTACTTACGACTGGTGACCACCCCGAGCCGGAGTAGTGCACTTGTTCGCCGCGCACGCCGAGCATGCGCGGCAGACTCGGCCCACAGATGTCTGCGTCCAGGATGCCGATCTGAATAATAACTCCATAGTCATTTTTTATCATAACGTTACAAACGAGTAGGCAACCACCCAAATTCGCCTAAGTTTATGCATACGAAATCTGCACTAAGTGCTCTTAATGACAACTGAGCGACTCTAAGCATGTTAAGGACTTGAGTATTTTTTTAAGTTCGGGATTCCTAGCGCCTACCATCATAAGTGGTTTCAACTTGTAAGTAAACAAGGCTCATGGTATTGTGTTCTCAATTATATGTTTTTATCATACTGACATTCTAAAGGTTACTTCGTGTATTCAACTAAGCAGAACAAATAAACACAATAAACCTTTCTCATGTGCCCTTGTCGTTGTAAACGTGTTTCTAAATTTGTATGTGCGTGTAACAGATTGGGTCAAACCTAAGTTGTGGTTCGCCTTCAACCGTATACCGGAAGCTGTTTATTTTCCGGTCGGTAGTTCTTAATTATTTTATGTAATATTGTGACCTACGAACAGAATTAAAATATCAACACGAAATGTTTCATTGTTGTTATTTCGTTTATTTGTATTAACATTGAAATATCGAGAGTTGCGTTAGACCTTTGGACCTCTATTTTCAATAAGATGCAAGTTTGAATGTTTTAATTTTTCACGGACCTTCAATACGTTACATATCCATGGCCGATATTCCCCTGCAATAATTGATTTCTATATTTCAAACTTGGAACCTTACTCTTACGGTACAATGTCACGTATTTTCGGAATGTTCATTTGAAATTAAACATTTGCGAAAATACGTAAGTTCTTTATATCCTTATTGGCCTTTATATCCACTGTATGCGGAGGTGCCAGTCGGTGCCACGTGCTGCCGTGACTCCCGCCAATCGATACGTCGCCTTGAGCCTCACAAATACCAACCCTCTCCACTGGAATGGACTTCGGTAACTCTTACGAAAGACGCTCCAGATATAACAGGGTAAACATATTTTTAATTGCCATAAAATTATCGATGGTTATATACGTAAAATTTTCCCGCCATATTTAAATGTAAAGTCGTTAACTTATTTCTTAGAACGTAATATAAAGTGGATTAATTTTTTTTTAACTGTGAAGACGCGATACCGCTTTCCCTAATAAAGTCCTCGCGACTAATATTATAAAGGAGTAGTAATTGTGGTATTAGTAGTAATTATTATCACTATGTGTGAGTGCAAAACAATCTATGTCATGGAATTTCATAATAACTTGTAAGGCTTTGGGAATCAGGTCCTAATTTAAATATCTAAATTTCGATACATTGCTTATACTATTTGGTGCTTCTTTATACAATTTCAACTAGGGTTTAGGTGACTGAATAATTTGCCACTTTTTTATTTCAATGTTATGTTTATGAGAACATAGTTAAAAATCTGCGGAAATTAACAATTTCATTTTCACAATATAATATTTGATTAACTACTATTTTATTTTTGGAGTAACTTCTAAGTTATTATAAATCAAGCATTAATACTTATTAAGGATGGCTTTCTTGGAAATAACTGTAATATTGTCATTGAACTTCTAAATCAAATAAATAGTGTAAAATGATCTCACATTCTTGTCAGGGAACCTTGCAGCAAGGCCGTGCCCCAGTAGGGATGTGACAGTGCTCTTGCCCACACCCCCCTTGCCCGACAGCACCAGTATCTTGTGCTTCACATTACTGAGACGGTTCTTTATCAACTCTATTGCTGGATCTGGTCCCGCCGGCACACCTGCATATAGACTAACATTGTATACTGTACATTATAAGACAAATTGTAATAACCAACTCATGTTCCATGACAATTTTGTGATATTACACTGTTGTTTTGACATTTTCCTCTTATACAATTAATTCAATAAATGTACCCATAATCTTACTTCAATAATTAGTCTTAAAAAGGGTACAGCATTCGCTCAGTTCATAATTTTCCTTTTTAAAACTTTACTAGCTGATGCGCGCGACTTATCCCCTATGTATTTAAAAAAAAATTGAGAAAATATAGCCTATGTACTCACTGACAAGGTAGCTTTTTAATGGTAAAAGAATCAGCCCTGTGATTTTTAAGTTACTTCAATACACACAAGAATACAAATCTTTCGTTTTTAAAATATCAGTTTAGATCATTCTCAACAACAAATAAATTTACATGAGTAAGAACTTATTTTGACATCTATCGTACGTGCCCTTCGTTAACTATAACTATTAATCAGTGTAAGTATTGCGAAATAATTTAGTTTTAAAGGCTCAAAGTCTATCTTACCTGACGCGCAAATGTTCTGATTGGGACAACCTGCACAAGCCGAGGCCTTCCCCGCGTCCTCGCTCTGGGTTCCCGGGCAATCTACAATATTTTAATTAGGAAAAAGATGAACAAGGACAATTTTTGAAAAATCAATTTATAAAACAATAAAAACATTACGGTTAGGTGCGTTTTCGGGGACGTTATTCATTATAGTCGATGTTATTTTCTTTCAGTTAGAAGCTTATTAAATCAAGTTTTATATATAACTACACTTCGTAACAATTTATTATCCGTAACTTGAACTTATGGTTGAAATAAATTGAATGAAAATTTCATTATGAAATGGTGTTTTGTTGAGAATGTCAAATACAAATGTTTTTGACAATCTCAGTTGACAGTGACGTTTTGTTTTGCGTTCAAGAATACTGTTTATAAAAATATCTTTTTTAATCTATCTTTCTTTAAGCAGAATAATAACTATGTAAATAACTATGTAATATTTCTACGTATTGAGATTATAACTGTAATATATCCGAAACACCTACAAATTATATTCTCTATTATTTACAGCAGTTTTTGTAATACTGTTCAAATCGTAGCTGTCGGTGATTCTGAAATAAATGACAATGTTATTATTTCAAATTTTACTGGAATGACTTAATTTTATTTTACACTAATTTATTTTTGTACATAAACATATTTTTAATTTATCACCATGGCTAAAGAAGTGTCCATGTGTACGGTACGAAATATATCATGCAACTTTTTGGAAATTACCTTAAAATTAATGATTAATTATACTCTCTTAAATTCCATAGCAACTTCAACAATGGAGCCCAGTAAAACCAACTGGGAGTACTCCCAGTGTTCCGCCACAAGTAGGTTACTGCTTCCATACTCCAAAAAAACACCCATGGAGACCAATCATGGGTTACGAAGAAATAGAAGTAACACCTATGTAAGTTTCTTCGCTATTTTATTAACAGCTACATTTCATGATTACATTACTGACGCACATGTGTTTCCAGGCCTTCGCAACCGATAACAAACACAATGGTTGATCCCTGCTACACGTCCGAGGGTATGGCGGCAGAGCCACTGCGGTTCCCCAACCTGGTCACCGGGTTCGACCGTAGCCCCGAGCACGCGGCGCGCGCGGCGCTCTACACGCGCTACACGCAGCACGAGTGGAACCAGAACAGCATCAGGAATTACAACGAATCAGATGCCAAGAGAAATTTTTCGGAGAGAGTCCGTAACGACATTATGAGGATGTTACGGTAAGTTTAGATACTTTGCCTTGAATATTGGGTTAGCGTACAAATTAAGTCTAAAGAATGCAACTTTTTGTCAAATTAAATAAGGTTTTAATGTAATTAATGACTTCCTGCCACAGGGAGACAGACGAAATCGGTGCGCAAGGGCAACGGGACTCGGGCAGGAAGATCGGCGAACGTATCACGGACACCACCTTCTGGCGAAATGAGGTGAAATGAGAGGGGTAGAAGTGACATCACCATGTAATGTATGCATGTTAATAACGGAGTTAGACGGGTGACGCTCTGTGCAGGTGGCGATAGAGATGGAGCGGCTAGTGGCGACGTGCGAGCGGCTGACGGACACCCGCCGGCAGCTGGAGCGCGCCGTGGCCGGCATCGAGGGCCCGCTGCACATAGTGCAGGAGTGCCTCTATCACCGCGAGAAGAGACAGGGTATAACACTGTCCCGGCATTGCTTTTCACTTCGCATCACTGTCGTTCTTGCTACGGCGAATAAAGGCAGCGACCGGCTGCAGAATATTCAATATTCTATTTAATTTCATTATATCGTATAGGTTTGGAGCAAGTGCACGACACAGTGGAACAGTCGTTACTCAAGGAGGTGGCGATCTTGCGCGAGTGTCAGGATAAGTTCCGCAACATGTTGGAGAAGGTAAATTATTAAATGCGATAGGTCTTTCATTTATCCTTCATATAACTTGTACGTTCAAGTATAAACTATTTTCTATGCGAGCACTGTTTTTGTCAGTTCGAGCATGGGAGTAGCGGGTATGATATATGTGTGTGAGTGCGTGTGTGTGTGCAGGTGCGGCAACAGGCCAAGAACTGCCGCGCGACACAACACGAACTGGAGAGCGACATGCGCAACAAGGAGTATGCACTCGGCATTGACAACATGTGCCATCAGCTCAACAACTTCTCCAAGGTCAAGAACATTCAATTATTGTAAGAGTGTCATTGAGACAATTTTTGAGCAGTTAGTATGTGTTAGTGCGTGTGTGTGCAGGGGCTACAATTCTACGCGGGCATCGAGCGCTACGACCCGACGGTGTGCGACGCGGTGCGCTGGGCGGCCGCCAGCGCCGCCACGCTGCAGCGCTCGCAGTCCGAGCGCGCCAAGGCTGTGCAGATGCTGTCGGGTGAGAATAGTGGACGTCCGCTGCTAACTTAAAGTCTAAAAGAATGTAGAACGATCCTACGGAGTTGCGGCTTATCTATTTGTTGGACCCATGAGTAGTAAGGATTAAGTGTTTGGTATGGTGTGCTTCTCAGACACGGACAACTTGATAAACGTTTCTGCGACGGAGATTTGGGACCAGTGGAGCAACACCAACAGCGCCTTCACGCGCCGCATCGCGGAAACCATCGAGATCAAGAACAAACTGCAATTACATCTACACAAGGTACAGTCTTCCATTTAAACGGATGTTTCACATTTCGTAATTGACCGGAACTTATCTAAATTGTCTGTAGTGGTATTTTCACATGTTCTTTCTTACAGGTTGCCATTATGTGAGTTTGTGTGGTACTCTTTACGTGTATAAAATAAGTTTCAAATTTCGGTCTGTAGGTTCAGAACGAGATATTCGACATCGAGAAGACGCTAGAGTTGCTGAACAAGGCTATTGAAGACAAACTGCAGCCCATGAAGGTGGCGCACAGCCGGCTGCAGGCGCGCACCAACCGCCCGCACCTCGAGAAGTGCCGCGACTACGCGCAGACCAGGTCACTGCCTTTCCTCCTGCACCATAATCTTAATTTTTATACTCCATTTAGTCTGAATTTAGTCGATCTAAAGATATCAATCCTATCCCCTGAATTATTCTTCCACTACGAAGTACTCTGTGAGGGTAAATCAAGTGTTGTGTTGTCAGGCTGGTGAAGGAGGTGTGCGACCTGCAGGACACGATGGAGCAGCTGCGGTCCAAGATCGCGACGGCGGAGGGCACGCACCAGACGCTGCTGGGCGTGCGCGCGTCGCTGGAGGCCGACCTGCGCAACAAGGCCGCCACGCTGTTCATCGACCGCGACCAGTGCATGGGCCTGCGCCGCGGCTACCCCGTCACCGCCGCCATCAAGGCCTAGCTCGCGTCGCTACTCTCACACAACTTGATTTCAAAATAAATCCATCTCCTTTTCAATTGTCTTGTTTATTATAGGACTTACGATTCGTCCCAGCCATAGACCTCATTTACTAAAGAATTTAATGCAGTAAATGATATACAAAGATGGATTTTGGATAATCTGTGGTATTCTCATTTCATAACCAGCTCTAAAAACAATTCTTTGTGTCTTCTCCCAGAGTAGTAATAGTCTGCAGGATTTGCATATAAACAACAATTAAAAAACATAGATTTTTATTTAATTTTCAATTACAACAAAAATTGAAACAAAAGTTTTAAGTCCTTAGTTCATTGTTTGTGCCTTAAAATAACCTATTTCTGAAATACTGCACAAATTAACTAAACTTTCACTGTCATAGTCTTGAATTTACTATATCTTGTACAACTGTTTCACTTTACAAAAGTAGGCACAGGCAGCTTGACACCTTCCTTAGCCTCAAAGAATGTGTAAGAGAGCACTATTTCCTCAACATACTCCATCTTGGGGTCCTCTGTGAACTCTGGGTCAATGTAGAAGAATACTGGCATGTCCACCTATAACAAAATATACATCATGGAAGAAACTGTATTACTATTGTTTTAAGGAGGTTAGATTTTATGACCAGACCTGTTCGTGTGGATTTAACATCTGTTCCTCAAAGCAGAAGCACTGTATCTTGTTGAAGTATTGACCAGCATCAAATGGTATGACATTGTATGTGCTGATGCCTACTACAGGCTTGTCTGTGGGATTGCGCGCTGTATAGAATGCCAGCGCTGTCTCTCCTGGCAGCACCTATAAAACAATTTGATAAACTAAGTACTTGTTTCTTATTCGGTGCTTGAAGCTATAAAATTTAGTTATACAAACCATTATGTCATTTTGTTGTGGCTTAAAATTCCACTGCATAGAAGAGGCAACATCAGCATTGAAGCGCACTTTAATTGGCCGCTCCCGCACTGCCTTCATGTTGCTGACTGCCTCAGCGGGCTCCGCTTGCCCTGTTGTGCCACCGTAACTGTATGCCTATATGAATACATTTTGAAATAACGTTACGGTTTTAAAAGTTTCAGCTAGAGCAAATTATTATAACACCCAGTAACATCTTTGGATACCATAAAACAACAATTGTTCCTTACCTGACAAAATATTCTATAAAGCGGCACTGCAGCGTAACTTAAGCCCACAGTGGCTATACCGAGCGCTATCATATAATTAAGTGTCGATTTTATTTTTTTCCTTTCATTACTCATTCCACGACTAACACAAACATTGGGTATAACTTTCGCCGCATTCAGTAAACTCGGCGCCAAGGAAACGACTCGGTTTTGTCTTAAATTATAAAAACACTTATTCATACAAAGTAGTCGATTCATCTTATAAAACTTTTCATTTAATCATTTATATTTCAAAATAATAAAGATTTTCCTCATAACCAAACCATGGCTGCTGTCAAATTCTTGTAATTCTGACATTAAATGTCAAAATCATATGGTTATGTAATTCGTCCAAAATCCAATACGAATTAAAAAAAATAAGAGTAAAGATTAAAAAAAAAACAAAGGAAACATTTGTTTGATAACGATTGATAATACGCATCACATAATACGTCCACCGTAGATCATCGACTCAACTAAAATTGGCGACTTGCAGATCAGATCACGATTTAAGTAAATCAGTGAACCCTTTCACATCTCAGTTTAGTTGATCCAGTCGATTTAAGTCCTAGTATAGTCTTTACGATACTTGTTGATCTAAAGTCAATAAATAAAAAAGGTGACAATAGGGCTGACTTTCACATCCACAAAAAATTCTAGGTAGTCTTTTATCAGCGACCAAAAAAATTACATTTGTCGCATTTTTCATTAAAACAAGTATCACGCTATGTTGATAAAAGATCACAACTGCTTTCTTATCATATAATACTATTTGCCGGTCACAGGTGTACGTAGTATAAAAAGTCACTGTTACTTAAACTTTAATTAATATCACAAAATTATAGTCACTTCGCGCACATCATCGTTTGTATTCTAACTCTGTTATTTTATGTTTCGTCTTGATGTGGGCGTCTGTGTGGGTCTTTTGGTACGCTTTGTAGGTGCACTCCAGGAAGGGGCACCTGAACATCGGCTCCTTCCCGCATTCGTATGTAACATGTCGTCTGTAGGTGCTCTTGTGCCTGTACTTCCTTTTGCACTTTTCACACTCGAAACTCGTTTCATACCGCGACCAGTAGTTTTTATTCTTCATTGGCACGATAGGCAAAATGTTTTGCATCATCGTTTTAAAGAAATCCACCTCACCTGCAACAATGAAATCAAACGCTCAAAAGCTTAATACTGAATGCGAATGGCGCTCTTTGTTGACAACCTACCTACTAAATCACTACGGTGTTTATAGTAACATATTGGTATAGTTCAAAAAGGATATCCATGAGAAAAACTAGGATTTTATTAAACCAAGAACATTTATTCACATGCATAATCATTAATTAAAAAAATCAAACCAAACACGCTTTATGCATCTGAACTTAAAATAATCATCAACAATTTGTTAACGTTTGTGCGATCATTTTCGCAAAAAAGACATTTTCTTGGTAACAATATATCAAAAATTATAATAATAGTAAAATATTGCAATTTAATTATTGCTAGTTTCCTTCATTATGCATTTTTCTTCATCTGTGCTTAGTCTTACAAAATCGTCTGGTGAAGAATTGAATTAACATTTAAAAAGACACTTTATCCATATTTGTTTTACCTAAATTGGTAGTATCATATGTTTTTTCGAATTCAGGTACCTATTTTTAGTTACAATTCATTAGCAAAATATAAGAGACACGTCAAAACAACTTTATGTTTTTTCCCAAACTGTTTTTTTTTTTGTAACATTTACGTTAGATAGGCTAGTTCTTTGTATACAGTTTGTAAGCAACTCGTTGACCAATGTATAAAATTCACTATTTCCGATCGCCCGTAATGTACTTTTATTGCAACAGGAAGCTCCATTTCCAAATCTTACGTACCGCGAACTAGCGATTGTTCAATATGAAAGATATTTACTTCCTATATTAAATGATATTGTTGCTTAGTTCAAATCTCGTGTCTGTTACAAAACGACCAACCGCCATGTTGCCGGTGCTTCGCAGTCAGTCCTAAGCATTTCGACTATTCAATTTTCAAATTTACATACAAACTTCTTCGTATTTCCAAAGATAACCAGACTGATTCGTAATCGTTCAAAGTGACTAATTTCTTGCACAGATTAAGCTCTTATGATGCTAATTTGTATATAAATCTGACCAGGTCATAGACATCACACAAAATCTTATAAAATATGGTTAAAATTTAGTTAAGGCACATAGAGAAATTGACAATGGTTTCTTTAGGAACACAGTAAATCATTGATACTATCGTATCACAATTTTAGACTATAGTAGACACATTTCTTTGGCTTCTAATTACCATGTATAAACATTCTTTAAATAATTTATATGTTATAACAAAAGTATATAGTGTTAGCTTAAAAATTGTTTTCTTCATTGTTAGTTTTTGGTGGGTCTTAACACTTAATTATTATGCTTATTTTATTATGTTATATCTATGCAAGTTCGTATATTCTTTTTGAAAAATTGGAAAAATCTCTATAAAAAGTTTTTTTTTTGCATAAAAAAGTGTGCGTATCAATATATTTTAGTTGTCTAAGTTATGTACACAATATAACTTGAGTGGAAAATATATTTTTTTATAAAAACTTAACTATGAACAATAATAATTTAGGGACTTAATATTATTTGTTTTCAAGGCACTTATTTCTTACAAAACTAGTCGACTGGAAGAGTCTTTGGTTTAAAATATTGCTTGGGTAATCATTTGAACTTTATAGGTAACTTAATATAACAGTAACAAATGCAAAAAATAATATAGGTTAACAGAAATACTGAACACTATAATACAAATCTCGGTTTATAAAATTTTAGTATTTATAAGATAAATTTCTTTGGTAACACAACCAACACACGCTTAATATTAATTTATAACGAGAACAAGAAAATGTAACAAATTATAATATATGTATAAAAATCGAAAACAAAATTGCCTTATTTATAAAATAACATCTTCAAAAAGATAACTCTGAAACACAGTTGTTCTGGCAACATCTTCGTTTCAGAAACCTGTTACGTATTTTATACCCGCAGAATTAATATTATAACTACTTATTTAATAGCTGCCGTTGTATAGTTTCCTTTCATAAATATTAGTAAGGCAAAATACATCTGAAAACGATAAAACCAAACAATTAGTTTACTTCAACAATGTCTTTCTAACATAAATATAAACTTTATGGCAAGACTACAGATTTTCTAGTCGTTATTTCTAAAGGTAACTTTTACTAATAACTGTTGCTAGTGGGAAGACTGAATTTCCTTAAATGTAATGTTAAAATTCTAGTAATAATGAAATTCCCCGCCTCACGCCATTCCTGTCTTGTGTCTTCGAGTTAAGTAGAAGAATCTTCCGCTTCCTTTGTTTCTGCCAAAGGACTGCAAAAGAGAAGTCAATATTTACAAATTCGTCTGTACAAATCGGACATTTAACGCCTAGAAATGGTCTCAGTTGCTGATATCCGTACCGTGACCACTTCTAGATCCCAACAGCATGCTACTAGAGAGCGAGTGCGTTTAGGCGCGGTACAGACAGGGCAGTAGCACGAGTTAGTACGGTCGGTTAGGCGCAATGTAGTTGTAGGTGTAGCAGTGGGAGTGGGCGTTAGTAAGGCGGTTAGTGAGGGTCAAACGTACTGAGACCTGTGGGGCGGGCGGTCATTCGGACACGAAGTCGACCTTCTCGGGCAGGTCTTTGTGCAGGTGTCTCTCGTGCAGCAGCAAGTTGTGTTTCTGGTAGGCGCGGTAGACGCAGTAGGGGCACTTGAAGCTCGGCTGCTTGCGGCACTCGTACTTCATGTGCCGTTGCAGCGACCCCTTGTGCTTGTACTTGTTGCCGCAGTCGCCGCACTCGTGCAGCGTCCAGCGCGCCTTGCCCCCGCCCCCGGGCCCGCCTCCCGCCCCGCACGCCAGCCCCGCCGTACCGTAACCCAATATATAAGGCGAGTACAACTGTGCAACTGAAAAGTGAGCAAATACAAAATAAATACGTGCAAATAAATAAAGCGCCCGCTACCACCGAGTGCCGAAGCGAAGCCACCATATTCTATAGAAAATAATGTGCCGCAAGCGTAGGATAATGCACCATGTCTCCCATTAATTTGCTCTTATCAATGTCTAAGGGTATTAATTAAAGTCTAAATATTGTATCTCATTTCCAGAGGGCATGCGACCGAATTCACCGATTCAAACTTAAATTGGAAATCGACTATAAACTGCGCTATTTCCATTTTAAGTTAACTTAGTCAATTAGCATTAGGATATTATACATGCATAACATTATTCTAAATATAAAAATATATACAAAATAGCTAAAATTATTTGATGCTGTTATTTATACAATTCAATACACCCCAAAAGGTTAATACTACTTGTAGCCCTTACAACTAAAACATCGGGTGATAAAAATAACAATTTACATTAAAACAAGTGTTTATCAAGAATAGCAACTTTATTAAAAATACAAAAATGTTTATAAAAATACAATCAAATGCATTTAATCACTGTAACTTCTTATTGACAATCTCATTGTGTGTGGCATCGTTAATATTGTAGGGAGCTATTGTTATAGTGTAAATAAGATTGTTTGCTTTCACTTGGCTTAGGACTCAACGAGCGACATTTCACTTGGCTTCCAGATGTCGACCGCGCGTGTGGTCTACTTCTATTTGAGAGTAAAGTTATCACAGCTATGTAATACTAGCAGGGCGTCGCCGCCTCATTATTGTCAGGAATTTAACTTGATATAGTACAAACGTTTATTGACATAGCTCGTATGTTTGTCACAACCTAGATATTTAGCAATAACAAGTTACATCATCGATTTCAATTTCGCATTGAAATGTTTTAAATCCTAATGACTAACGTTTCAAAGGCACTTAATATTGAATTGACTTGCATGCTTGTACTTTGTGAAGTCTACATTGATTGTACGATGGTAACTCCGACGGATATCTAATAATTATGTAGTAAATATGCAGAAATACTCAATGGCAAGTTTGTACGCGCTCCGCATTCCACACATACATGATCCGAATATCGATACGACACATCTAAAGGAACTTTTTGACGATTTAACTTTAAAATAATAAAATAAAGCGGCTTGTGATCGATTGAGTATATCTGCCTACCCTACTACAGACTAATTCTTACAACTCCTAAATGGTAATGTATAAAATACTTAGAATAACTACGTGGAAGATTCATTACAACATCAAACGTAACAAATATTTTGTGCACGATTTTCGATATATATTTGAATGGCAGTGGCTCGACTTTACAAGTCCACGTCAACAACTACGACATAAGGCACTCACAGAAACGTCTCTGAACAACCGCATTGGTCCCGGAGTCGAGGAAACATTCACTAAAATACTTCATCACGAGGAACTTAACTATCGAGAGCATCTCTATTTGATCGCGTTACATTATCAAAATATAATTTCAAATGAGTTCTTAATTAATATAAATGCATTACACGTTAAGAGATCTAAAAATAAACCATTAAAAATTAACTTATCTGAGTATTACAAAATAATGGAACATGCATTATGGCAAAGAACTAGAGCTTGCTAACTAAGCGAAAATAGCTTCATTTCGATTAAAACTAGGCTAGGTATACAAAACGAAATCGCGGCGGTGCGCGGGCGAGACGGGGCGTCCGCAGCTCCGCCCCCCGCCGCGAAGCTGACGCCTCCCTTTAGCAAATAGTAACTGCGATTGGTAACAAATACAAACTACGTTTCCTACGCGAGGAAAACCGTCTATCGATCTAACGCCTACCTACGAGTAAACCAGGAATGATAAAATACAGTAAAATGCTGTACATATAAAAATATCAAAAAATTAAAAAAAGCGTACCTAGACACGAAATCACTTTCCTTAACGTATAGTGAATAAATGCAACAGTCGGTAGCACCGCTGCAAATAGTGCAATCAGCGCGAATACTAACAGTAATTCGTCATGAGTTTAAAATCGTACGGTAGGTATGCAGCGCGTCACCGGCGGCCTCGGCCGGCGCCACTATCACAAGGCTTGCATCACATCTATCACAATCTGTCAAAGGCTACATGCACGCGTCCACGTTGTCCTGCTTGATGTAGGGCTCCGGCTTGACGTGCAGCTCGCGGTGCATGCGCTCCATGTGGCGCGCGATGTGCATCTTCTGCTTGGCGCGGTAGACGCAGTAGGGGCACTGGAACTGCGGCTCCTTGCCGCACTCCCACTTCTGGTGGTTGCGCAGCGACGACTTCAGCTTGTAGCCGCGGCCGCAGTCGGGGCAGGCGAAGCACGCGTCGCGGCCCTCGCGCGGCTCCCGCGCCGCCTCGCGCCCGCCCCGCCCGCCGCCGCACAGCGGCAGCGCCAGCCGCGCCGACCACTGCTCCCACGACAGCCCGCCGATGCGCGAGAACGACACGTCCTCCGGCCCTGAAACCCACGTCACCCACCACGTCATGCCGCGCTCGAAACGCCGCGCCTCCAGCCTTCACACGCAACAAGCAACGATACATACGTATATACATACATAGATACATACGATATACATACTACATACACATACATACATAGATACCTACATACACTACATACTACTGTGAGTGTGACCAACGAGTGCTGTGACGAAAGCGAAAGGAAAAGTAAAAAGAAACAAAACAAGGAGGAGGTCAAAACGTTTATTGGGAAGTAAAGCGTGCGGCGCGTCCTCGGGCCGTGGCCGACAGACACGAGAAAATTGATGGACTTTGGTCTGTATCGCATTGTACGGTACACGTTTGTCATCGCCCTCGATAGACTTTGTTAATAAATGTAGTCTCCCGAGCCGGGGCTTTCTCTGCTACCTGAAATTATTAATTATATTAGTATGAACGAAAAGAAAAGGAAAACGATCGGTGAATGCGCGAGGCGAAACGACAAGCGTTGAGATGCAGCAGGCAACATGCAGCATGCGCGGTTAGACAATACCAAACTTAACGAAACACAGCGACTTACCTAAACAATGCTAAAATAAAAATAAAAAGTGATCAATGAGGAAAAAGGTTGCAATAAAAAGCCAAAAGAAACTCAAATATGGTACGCTATATTTTTATTATAATCAACTTTTCTACCAAGTAAAACCCCAATATATTCATATAAAAATCACACTAATCGATTAACTAGTTTTCCAATAATATTAACAAACAATGTAAACTTTTAAAACATCCAAACGGTAAGCCATCTTACATCAGTACCTCACACCGCGACGACTAATAAACTAATACTGACTTTGGTCAAATAGCTCTGTTATCCTAGGGTCAACAACAATATCAACAGTAATATATGCTAAGGAAACCTTCAAAGTGTTATTGCGAAGTCAATATCGAGGCTAATATCATTCGACATCATTACAGTTTTTGAACACATTAGCTTTCATCCCAGTACACCGAAACAATAAACCGAACAACATAATAAATAATATTTATCTACAGGTAACATTGTAGGCACTTTATCTGAGCTTTCTCTTCAGTTCACAGTATCGTCACCCCCCC